ATTCTGTGGACTAGAGAGCTAGATCGAGAGAGAGAGAGAGAGAGAGAGAGAGAGAGAGAGAGAGAGAGAGAGAGAGAGAAAGAATGAGGGGGGGGGGGAATCGCCCTTGCTGATTCGCCTTTGTGCATGTAGTATTCATGCAGCACTTCCAAGTTCGCTGTATTTGATTAAGTATTTGAGCTATTATGATCTCGTCATAATGTTAGTGTAGTAAATTTTATGTTTTAGGTTTAGTTTCACAAGAAATACTTTAAAATTTGGCACAAACTACAACTATTGTCAAGACTCACAATCAACACATTATATAAAGGTGACTCACAACCAAATAATATTTCCATGTTAATGAGAGGCGTAGCGTGCTACTAGCACTTCAGCGGGCACCAGGGTTTTATAAGGGCAGGAGGGGGGGGGGGCGTTGTTCTTACTAGGTCGATGGAATTCAAAAGAACAATACCTTCAAGTGAGGGGAGAGTGTGTGTCGGATCATCTTCTATTCACATTGCCCTCCCCCTTTACTTTTTTTCTGTCGCTGTTTCTTTTTTTTTGGGGGGGGGGGCCATGTAATGGGCGGATGCCCCCTTGCCCCTAACGTAGTTACGCCACCAGAAGCTAAACAACCTCCCACCAAGTCCATTCGACCTAGCTTGTAAACACACAAGGGCATGATTATTTCTAATATAAACACGAAGCCATAATTGTTTCCAGTGTATCTTATATTTCATCCAATGCCCTATTGATCTCAGAGCGTTAAACGGAACCATTCTTTTCCGCTCTACATCCGAATGATCAACTTAATTCCAGATCATGGACTCCGTGTCCCCACAACTTCATGCAACAATCCTTTTTGGTCAAAGTTTAGTATTACGGTATATGCGTCTTTTTGCATGACTGGATTACGACGAAATCTTTTCATATTAAGATTACACGCTATTTTTATTGTCATTTTCCAGCTCTCGTAATCTCAAATATGGTGTGAAGAGAGGAACATTGTGTATTAGACGAAGTGTTAGGGTGACGATAGGTTGGGAAATGAAACTTTTTTAAAAGACAATGATAATTATATATATATATATATATATATATATATATATATATATATATATATATACTTAGATTTGGTCTATTCCTCCGTACAGTACTCAATGCTTATGGGCAGAGCAAAATATATATTGGATAAGGCAGACTAATGGAGCATAAATCTTATTGTTTTGTATTGTATTGTATTCCTTATTTTGAACGTATTGTAGATTGTAGAGTAATCATGCTACCAGTTGCCTGATGATCGCTCGCAAGGCGTGAAACTCGGAGTTGCAACCATGCTCCATTAGTCTGCCTTATCCATATATATATATATATATATATATATACACACACAATTTCCTAAAAGAAGTACCTTTTGTTATTCATGAAAGGAGGGCTTTGTACCCAATTTCTTTACTATGTTTAATGTCGAACTTTCAAATTGCACACCCCCTCCATAATCATTATAACGATTGAACCAGGGTTTCTAAAACTAGTTCGATTGGGAAAATATACATTTTCCGTTTGTTATATCCAGAAAATATGCCTTTCCTGTCAAATCGAATTCTACTATACAAGAGACTAACAGAACAATACTTAGGCCATTGACTGATTTTATTTTGAATAACAGAATGAGAATGGTTTGATATCACTTTACTGTAAAACAATGCAGTTGCTGGAAATAGATTCTTCATAACTGTGGGGTATATTGTTTGATTGTGTATAGTTCCCGCTTTGTTATGGTATTCATGAGTAAGACCAAAAAGATATCACAGCTCGCTTGCTGTGATATTGGTTGGTTAGCTCGTTTTACGTGACTGCTAAAAACCATGCGTGTGCGTGTAAGCATAAAAACAACCAGGGGACCGACTGCTTTTAGTCCTCTCTGGAGGAATTGGTAATGAGGATTGATGCCTTACCAAATGGATCTATTGCATCTATTGCATCGGCTTGGATTCGAACCCGGGACCTCCCGGTTACGAGACCATTACTCTACTAATGAGCCATCACGCCTCCGTTCTTTTAAATGTTATCATCTGTTCAATATGATCTATAAACGTACCCTTTTTTATGCGGTCTTTGCTCCTATTTTGGTATGAGGCACGTGAAAAGCAAAACTGGAATAAAGTAGGCCATCATGACTGGATTTTCAAAATCATTTAAATCTTTTGAATTTCAAATTTAAACAATAACGCCATTAAGCAAGATGACATTGTCTTATCCAAACTTGTTTGTAGTGCATTAGCTTGTCATAATTTACTAAAGCACGTGGATATATAGGTCAGTGGCGTCTCCAGTATAATGAAAAACTGGGGTCCGACGCCCCCCCCCCGGTTTCAAGCCCAAGATATATTCAATGTAACTTGCAGTTGGTATTGGTCATCGGATGACCAGATACATTATACCGGCTGGTCAAGGTCCTATTAGCCATACATGTAGTATTTCATTGAGAAGTTTACTCTGTTAAACATATCATACGTGCGAGAAGGTTACTATTATAGTACGTGTCTTCCCGATAAATACTTAGCCATGAGCTATTACATTAACCTGTTACAATTCGTTTGTGTTTTTAACAATGGGATCATCACAAACAAGATGGGATTAAGCCAGGCATAACATTAAAAATATACAATAACAACATCTGGCCTCAGTTTCATTTTCAGAGACTCCGGCCTCGATATCGAAGGCAATACCTAGGCCTCCGTCTCGGCTTCGGCCTCGGCCTCGGAAGCTCCGGCCTCGTCTACATGCTATGAGGAGGGCGTCCCCTTATTTTCCAATTTTTGATACGCCGCTAAAATTGCAAGGGAGGGGGCAGATATCTCGCATTCATAAATATTACGAACTGTGTATGTCAAAATCATGCACACAATTGACGCATGTATACCAGAAAATAGAAAGACCAAGACAAACATAACGAAGAAGTAAAAAATGAGAATATTTGGATTGAATTGAGGAAATTTCAAAGGGGGGAAGTTGGAGAGGTTAAGGCAGTAGAGTGATTCCAATGAGGATTTGGGGACTCAACCCCCCCCCCCCCAATAAAAAGCCTTCTAGAACCGCTCCTGGTAAGGGGGAGATAAGAGAAGCAGCGCATAAAGGAAGCTGGTAGTGAGTAAGTAAAGAACATTTAGTACGAGCATTGATTGGGGGATCAACAAAATGATAATAATAAATTAAAACTCTCATAACCATTAACCTTATTTTAGCAAGGTTGCCTTTATTTCTTAACCATACGCATATCCAGAGTGAATGCGAACACGCCGCAACCTCCTACTGAACACAAAAAAAAAACATGGAAAAGAGGCTTTTCAGTGCTACATTCGCCCCTCCGTTCTTTTACTCTTGAGAGGACCCCACCCACCCCACCCACCCCACCCACCCCCCTAAAACTGAGGAAAATCCTATTTGCTCTTTAATCCCTCTTCTTCAATATAGACTATCACAATCGGCTGATGGGCAATGGACGGGCTTATTGATATATCGCAATGACCGCCCTACATTAAACATTCTTGGAACCTTGTCCTAACGACAGCCTTAATGGATGTCAGTGCCTTGTAAACTGTCTTTGGGTATTATAACTAAAGTATTAGTCAGTGAAACTATGTTGAAATCAGATCAAGATCGTAATCAGATCAAACGTGTGAATTCTACAGCGCACGTACGCTTAATTATCGCTCTTCTTCACAAGTTTTAAAAACAAAACATTAATTTGTTTCATCTTAAAATATATCACTGTTAGAAACTTAGAGTCATACTTTGCAAATTGATTTCAGATTGTCAGTATCATTATTGATTGCATGACATAATTTCAATATGTTCTCAGAAAAAAGATGGTTCTAAAAGGTTTTTTGAAATTGAAATTCAAAGAAACTGTTCTCCTCCGAGGAACGTTGTAAGGTTCTGCATGTTTCTATTAGAGAGTACAAGTGTCGTAGTCGACTGGTTTAAGCACATGACTCAAAATGCAAAGGTCACGGGTCCGATCCCCGACACGGCACTAATGTCCTTTGGCAAGGCATTAATCTACTTTTGCCACTCCATACCCAGGAAGGAAATGGGGACCTGGTAGGATGACAAAAGCCTTTGTGTCATAGTATTTGCCATAATATGCCCTTCACAGTGACCATGTGGTAGGAATACGCCTAGGGATTGGAGATGGTGCACATTGTGCGAGAATGAATCTGATGACCGGGATAATAATATATGTACAGCGCTTAGCGACGGTACTTCGTATTACGCGCGAAATAAATCCAGATCATGAATGTTATTGTTATTATCATTATTAAGTTTTCTTCACACAGAAAATGCTTTTTTTTTGGGGGGGGGGGGGTGGCACATCAGCTCCCCGGTACGACGCGATAAGGATTCGACTTAGTGCCGGATCACACGCAAAGATGGAATTAATATAATATCATGCACATATTCGAGGGACAAAATATCTATATAATTATGTTTGCAGCATATTACTAGTTTTTCATAATACGAGGGCATTTAGAATGGGGTGTGGAAGTTCGGGTGTCGGACATAATTTATCAATTTCATTTGCTTAAGTAGTTTACTATAGAAAAGTGAACATTTCAGCAAGGATACTTTTGCTTTTGATTCTAAATTTATCAAGTCTTAATCATGATAATGAGGAAGAAATGATAAGTATCTAAGTGACGTCATTTTTGTAAGTGTACTAACAAACATTTTCATTTTCTATGATTGTACGATATTTGACATGGCCTAAGTAATGGATTTTTATTTTGAAGCAGCTCCCCCTCCCCTCCCTGACGTCATTGGCGATGTAACCTTGGACCATACGAGATCGCTCTCGAAATGACAATGAGTTTATTATCAAAATAATAGAAAAAGGTTGGGAAAGATCCGACTTCCTTTATCAAAGGTCTAATTTAATACGCATGCGCAAAAATGGCAACCAACACCAAGCCTCTAAAATGCGACCGTGTTGAGATTGTTAAAAAAAAAAAATCAAAACCATTCTCGCGATCTTCTGCTATAAATAGCAGGCGAAATCATTAAGCTGGCTCATTGGTTTGAGCAGACGTCCATGAGCAGACCAGATGTTTTGAATCGTCTAGCGGTATTTATTTTTTGGAAACATCAAATCCAAACCGCCTGCGTCTGAAGATTTATTGAAATCTTGATCCACAAACGCGTTTCTTTTGTAATCACTTTCAAAACGCTTGAGAGTGTTTTCAGCGAAACGCAACGCGATCCTGAACTTCGCCTTCGCCGCCGACTTTGAGCCGAACGTGTTTGAACTAGAAGGCGCTTAGTGTTGTGTGGACGCTGACGAATACCTACTTAAGCTGCAAAAAGACGTATGGAGAATCCCATCTGCTGTTCCATGGACGGGAAATCAGACCAGTGCTCATCATCTCGATCGTCTGCTTCGACCACCGTCGTCTGCGATAAAGGGCTTGATCAAGTCCATTTCGACTACGCCAGCTACGACACCCATCTTAACAAACAGCTCATCCGAAACAATATGATGAATAAACACAGGTATGTTGTTAAATTACTTTTTTTTTCATCCACAATATAAACAAATAATTCAATTTGGATATTCCTCCTTCACGGCAATATACAAATATTAATTAAAACAATTGAAATTAAAAGCCTTGAGAGTTCACTTCTTCATCATGATCAGTTTCCGTCATTGCAATTGTTATAATCATAATACTTTTTCTTCTATCTGAAGAAATCAAATTGAAACCAGTCATGGTGAAGAAGAGAACTCTCTAAAGGATTTTAATTTCGGTTGTTTTAATTATTACGATTTGTATATCGCCGTGACGGAGGATCGACATTAAATTATTTATTCTATATATATATATATACAGTGCGTCCCAGAAAAAAAACGAAACCGAGAATCATCGATGTCTTATCATAACGTAATAACAATTATAATAAATAAATTACAACTATTTGTAAAGCTTAGATCCTCCTCTTTATTTTGATGCAACTCATATGATGCATATTTCACGCATGAGTGATTTAAATTAATTTGAAGAGAGGAAACCAAAAGTCATTTGGCGGACGGTATATTGAATTTCAAGGAGAAATCTTTCGTCTATGGCTGATCGTCAACGAAACGGAGTTAAGTCTTTTGTCCATTCCGTTTGTTGCTACGGCAGGCAGCCAATGAAAACGAATTCGTTTAATACAATTATGGAAATGCAAGCATCACTTTAAACAAACAGAACGTTTTTTATTCCTTGCTCATTTTTCCTGATTGAGGTGTCATGAAAGGGCAGAAACTGATCTTTCTAGAAATGTGATTTTTTTTTCTTTTTGGAAATTCAGATACTGTCCGCCAAATAACTTTTTGGTTCCCTCTCTTCAAATTGATTTTAATCACTCATGCGTGAAATATGCATCATATGAGTTGCATCAAATGACAAAGGAGGATCTTAGCTTAACAAATGGTTGTCATTTATTAATTATAATTGTGATTAAGTTATGATAAAACATCGATAATTCTGTACATACAAACAATAACAACAACATAAATTCTTATCGATTTATAAGATACTGGCTGAGCTCTAATTTTTTTCCTTCCTTTTGTAACATTTGTGTTAATCGCAAAAGCACAGTTTGGTTGTATAGTGTTATTTAAAGGGTTTAAGTTAGGAGCTGGACTATTTTCGGAAATGGACTGGAGACCAACTGTTGCCGGTTTGTCTCACAACAGATTTTTTAAAGAATCATATTAATGGACTGAATTTTGTTGGCCAACAGAAGAAAAAAAGGAAGAGAAGAAGAAAAAAAGAAAAGAAGAAGAATAAGAGGAAAGGAAGGGGAAAAAAGATGTGAAAATCCAAGGAAAAGGCTTGTCGTTTAATATGTTAAGGAAACATTTTTAAGTTATACCTACGTACATTCGCCAATTCAGTGAAAGTTCATTTGGAATAATCTCTATGATCTACAAAACTGATCTTTCCAACATTCTTTTAAAACAAATTTATACGAGAAATGTATTCCAAGGCTACTTGAATGAGTTCACGAATTATTATGACACGAAATTTGTCCCCAAAACACTGAATTTTCTATGGCAGTTCATAGTACTCTTTGTTAACAAAGAATAAGTCACGTAGAGTTCATGAGAATTAGATGCCTGGATTTCAATTTCTGGGAAATTAATAATTGTCCAAATGTACAAATAAACGATTTTTAGCTGACAAATCATTAAATGTTGTTTAATGGGAGAATTACCGGGGAGAATTATAACCGCGAGTTTTGTCAGGCCTATTATGATCACAATATGTTCAAAGTAGTTTTTCTTTTACGGATATGTTTACACCGGTTTCATAATCTTTGAGCTTAACCGTTTCCTTAACTTCCTTTTATTGAAAAGAATACTTCGTATAGGATGTAAACATAATTACATTGATTCGAAACAGTCTGCAGCCATTCATGTTATAATACGATGCTTCACAGCACACGAATCAAGTTCAAGTTAAAGTTCAAGTTTTTATTTCCATTTTCAACAAGGAAAATACAAATTATATACAATAAATAAATTGCAAACAACATTTTACAAAGTATACAAAAGTAGTCATACAAGTGCTGATGTTATTTGTCATGCATTGTAAAAAAAACATTAGTATATTATTCTTAATTAAGTTACAAGGAATATTATAAGATAATCATATTATACAATCTAAATCAAGAATAAAAATCAAAATGTTGTTGTATATTTATATGTCAAGTGAAAATGGAGGGCTCCACTTAAAGCATGTCTTGTAAAGTGTGGACCCCTCATAAAGACCAAAAAAGAGAGAGAAAAAACAAACATATTTGGGTTATGGTACACAGTTATCATGACAATCGACAATAATTTGTGCTCAATTCCTAACAGATGGATGATACCATACTGCACAGTGGCAGCTGTCTTCATTGCTTGTGGAGCGCTGCTCGGTTTGGTTGCAGTCTACGTGGAGCTATGTCGGGCAAACACCGTTCTGATGACAAACAGAGAACTGATCCACGCTCAAGAAATACAGATGTTAAACCAAACACATGCAATGGATCAACTGAGAAATGCAATGGAGGTAACTCTTCCCTGAATTTGATTGTTACCTGATTTTAATTATACTGAACCTCTTTGAATTTCAGTACTTAATTCCTGTTGAACAACATCGACGATTTGTTCATGTAAACGATAAAGATGTATTCCTTTAACACCACTTTCAACATTGAGTTGATGTTTATAGAGCGCTTTTGATAGAAGATACTATATAATAAGATTGGTATGTTACATGTTTATATCAATATTATTCACATCTTGGAAACATCATGATCGGATAATCATGATAATATTCCAATCATAACACCGCTTCCTCCTAATGTGCTATAATTCCGGCCTTGCATTATTTCAATGATAAACCTTAATAGGTACTCACTTCACCTGGGTCAAGAGCGGCAAATGTTAGATTAATGACTTGAAAATGGAAATGCCATGTCGTAAGTCTAACTCACAAATTTTCATCCCGCATCCAGACCAATCGGCAATGGTTCTAGGAAAATTATCCCCCAGAAAGCCCCATGAAAATACCCTCCGGAAAATAACCCCCAAGGACAACCCCCCCCCCCCCCCCCCGTGGAAAATAGTTTGTATCTCCCGAATGTGGGGGTAATGTTCTACGGGGGGGGGGGGGTAATTTTCCGTGGGGGTAATTGTCTTCGGGAGCGGTTATACTCGGGGGTAATTTTCCGGGAAGGGGGGGGGGGAGTATTGTCCTTTGGGGGTACTTTTCCGGGGGTAATTTTCCGGGGAGTGATTGTCCAGGGTGTGATTGTCCTGATACAATCGGCAATAATGATGTTAGCAAGAATGGTGGATAAAGTCGGAATAAAGTCTAATCAACTGTATTCGATCGCCCTCATTCCGTAAATCTAGGGCCACTTAATTTGACCCGATCCCTATTTTTTGTTTTGTAGCATTCTTTATTGCATTCATTCAGTACAAAATATGCAAAACATACATCTTCATTGATTTACATAACATATCAAAACGTAAAGAAAATTGTACATACCTCAAAAATACATAATATAGATTAACCCCTGGGACGCCGATCCAGGTCATTTAGCGATCATTTGTGGGCATTTGTCCATATCCCTCGAGATGGACACCTCTGCCCTATAGTATCCTATATAGTACTGCATAATCACCTTTCAGTACATGTATACATCTTTCAACAAACCTATAAAATCTCCAACGACCTATAATTGACACAGTTTTACTCCGGAAAGGGAAACAATTCGCGTCACACTTTTTTCTGTTTAATAATTCCGCTGACCATTGTGTCTTTTATCTCACTCCTCTTTTTGTCATTGAATAATAATACTTCTTATTTCTTTTCATGAAACTTTCTTTTTTGTGCAAGAAAGAGTTTTTCTTGCACAAGAGGGAAGAGGATATTTATATGCTGACAATATCACAACCGGTTATGTATACGGTTAACTGGACTGTGTCTCCTGCTGAATATCCGTAGTACAGGTGTGAAACTGTCCATGGTTGACAGTTATTTATCGGCACCGATTTCCCACCTGAATGGAGATCTTTTTAACTGCATTCAGCAAGTCGTAATAGACTTGCTGAATTGTCTTTGGTGTCTTATCTGTCTTACATCACATACATAATGTATAGAGGTGGAGCCAGGGGGGGGGGGGGGGATTGCTCCGCCTCCCCCACCATCCCACCCCACCTATGCTCGAGACGATGAGGGCTTGTTGGTTATCAAAGATTATTATTCGACGGGGGGGGGGGGGGGGGAGGGGGGGGGACTAGCCGCCAAGAAAAGAAAAAAAAAACGCTTTCGAAACAGCAAACAATCCGGCATCTGGCAAATATTTATTCCATTACAAAGAAGAAATTTGGTATATAAGGAGTTGACATTCATTTATGGTCAAATTGAAGAATTTAGAACATGAGAAAAATTCAGATTGTTTTTATTTTGGAGTCAAACATCACGAGCCAAGAAAAATAAACCCCTGTTTCTTTTCCCTACAACGGCTTCCTTTTTTAATGGCTCTCCTTGTTTTGTTTTTTCATGCCAAGCGAAATAAATGGAGAAAACTGATTATACGGTGAGCTTATGCAGTTCGATAGCAAGATGTGGCACTATTCCCTTTTTCACGTATAGCCCTTTACATTCTAGAAAAAAATATGCAGGGAAACTATTAACTTCTTGAGACCCCTCCTCCCTTTTAAAAAGAAACATCTGCACGAGAAACTGGTAACAATATTGTAGCGTCGCTCGCGGGATTGAATGGAGAGGGGGGGGGGGGGGGGGGGTAGGCCCGTTAATATTCAGAAAAGGAGAAGAAATGTTATTCAAAGGAACTGGGGATTCATTAATAATGGATGGATCCTGAAGAGACTATTTTTCATGCAGGAAATGGACAAATGTTCAGTTTAAAATGAAGCATTATATCGCGATGCACTTTTTTTTCCATGAACATTTTTCAGCTCGGTCACCACACGACCTCGCAATATGAGCGGCTATTTACGCGTATAACCTTAGGCATAATGGGGTGCAATAATTAACACGTTACCGGGGAGATACAAGTGATGAAGATGTTGATGAAGATGATGATAAAGAAGATGAAGAAGAAACCAATAAAGCAAATCAAATCAAATCAAATCAAATGGTAATATTGATATGATAATATTTAAAAAAGTACGCAGAGTTCTATACTGCAACATTGGAAATGGATGGAAAAGTTTTAATTTATTCCTCACTCACATCCTTCACCCAATCGTGAATAGACCTTTTATTCGTAACAGACTATTTTATCAACATTTTCTACTCGCCCCCTCCCATTAAAAAAAAAAAAGGGGGGGGGGCAATGCCGCCCCATCTACAGTCTTACAAAAACTTTCCGTTGCCACAAAGCTTATTGAAACATCATTGCAGCCCCCCCCCCCTCCAATCCATAATATAGATCAACGCCCCTGTCATATAGTTATTGGAAGAGGTCGAAAGTCGTTGGACACTGGTCAGCAAACTTTGAACTGGTTCGAACCGCTTTTTAGATCAACGTTACCATCAAGCCTACTGTAAAATATGGTAATAATAATAAGGAAGAGGGGTAAAGAGACTTTACAAGTGATACGAGTTTCACCTGTTGCACAAAGTAGTTGTGTTTGATAAAGGAAGTGATTTTATTTCTGGTCAAAGAACAGGAATTGGACCCGATATCAAGGTGAAAAACTTAGCGGTCATGTATCATGGCACTGGAATTGTCATAATATGTGTATTTCTAACACTGAAGACTCTGCACTCTAGAAAGACATTTTAAAAGTGTAGAAAAGTTGTCCTGAATTGTAATTATAAGTCATGTATTATTTTAGGTTAGTCTGGACCAGAAAAACATTTTAACCAACACAAATTTAAAAAAAAACTCCCCCTATCAAAACTATACTTTAATTTATCAAGTTGTTCAGCTCTAGTTAAGGGTATTTTAAAAATGCTGCATCCAGTCTAGATTATTATCAATGGATTTTATTTTATCCTTTTATTTAAAAAAAACACATAAATTTGATCCTCACAATATATACAAAAAAGGGCGTTTATGAGAAACCTTCGGCGATGAGATGTCAAGCGAATGTAAGCTTAATACTTCACGAATAATCACTTTCATTTCATAGGCAAGGCAACCGCACCCTATTTCCATATACTGTTTTCTTTTAATGACGTAGCTTTTTACAGACAGATCAAAAGAAAACATGATGTTATCTTTGTAGGTTCATAAGATTAATAATAGAATTTTTAAAAAGGTGATTTTAATAGTGAATTTGAAAGTGGAAATAGCAACAACCGAACTAAAATTGTGTCAATCACCGCTCCTTCCGTCTTTGACCGACATTTGTGAGCTACAATCACAAACTTCCATTAACTAAATAAAACATTTCGACATTTGAATGTTTTGATTCATCGATCATTCTATTACAATCCAGGCGGTGGCGTAGAAAAGGGAGGGACAAGGGGACGGGTAGGTACATGCCACTCAATTGAACGCCCCCCCCCCCAAAAAAAAAAAAAAGTAACAATGAGGGGAAGATAGAAAGAAGACAAAGAAAGGAAAAGTAAGAGGACCGAGAAAAAAAAATGAAAAGACTTCGCAATCACCGTCCTATAATCGATGGCCTTGTTAATTCGCATTCATTTCAACGAGTAAGACACCCCACCCTCCTATTATAACACCTCATCCTAAATTGTTGGATCCATACTACGCCATTTTATCCAGGTTGAAGGATGGCATAATACAGTGCATGGCTTTCCGCAAATTGCAAAACCAAAATAATCACAGTCGTCACTCTTATAACATGGACCTAATTTATAACGACATGGCATCTGTCACGATGGGTATAAAACTGGGCTATCAAAACACGAATCTTTTCCCCTTCTTCCCCGAGTATCCCAGTTTCGGTTTACAGTCCTTGTATAAAAAGGTCGACCAAAAAGTACTCAGTATAAAAAAATATATATATTGGTCAAGTAGTTAGTAAACCAAAACACACCCCAAAAATTATTTTCCTTAAAAAGGACAAAAGTTGTAGATTTGACAAAGAGAGCAAACACACAAGTCAAGAGGAAAACTATATCCTCTTTAATTTACCATCCTTTTGAACACTTAATCCACCTTTACCTTTGACACAATTTTAGATTGAATTAGTGTCATATTAACTGCTATAATTTGATTTGAAACAAACAAACAAAAAAGAAACGAAAGGAAACAGTGCGGTCTCATAGTTCTTAATGTATATCGTGGTTTTTCAATTCCGATCTCTCTGATGTGGTCTATCGATTAATCTCATGTTCTACCAATTAATCGACGATACAGACATCTTTCACTCGCTATTAAAAAGTGCGATCATGTACTCCAAAATGAATTAATCTCAAAAGCAGCCTAAAGTGACTCATCATCAATTACACAAATTAGTGTGTCTCAGTCTAAAAGTAGGTTGGGCTCAACAAGACAAAAACCTTGGTTGCTTTGTGGACAACTAGATGAAATACTAAAATGAATACTGAAATATTTCTTTCTTTCTGATATTCTTCTAAGATACCAGATGTATTCGTATCGTTATCTCAACTTGCTCTATCTTGAAGTAGAAAAACAACACACATACAAATAAAAAGCATAAAACGAGATTGAAGATATTTGCTTTTGTAAAATCCATTAGTAAAATAATATGAACAAAATAACTAAGACTTGTGCCGACTTAAACATATTAATTACGACAACGTTTTATAAAATCATTGTAGATAGAACATTTGATATTCTGTGTTGAATATAAGATTTCAATTTGTTCAATTTTTATAAATAAAGTCATATCTTTATATTTAGTCATGTCTTCTGTATTAGGCCTATGTTGAAGAAAAAATGTACATCAGAACATCAGCTCTTTGTTCCGTATAGTAGACTGCTCTGTGCATAATTATTTAATTGGCAATCCAGGAATTTTCACTGATATCTTAAACAGACAAAATCGTGAATCCCTGCTAGTTTTCCGCACGCCATATTTATATTGATTTTCATCACTTTTTTCTTCTCATTGTCCAGTGTGTTTAAAACCCTTCCAGCTCATGAAAGAAAGCGGTTGCAAACCTCTGATATGTCTAAAAGATAAGACCTTTGTAACATCGCTGTGCTCATGATTATGTCACTGAAATGTCTATTAATAGCTTGGTGGACTTTTGTAACGCAGTTGTCTACATTTTCCACACCATTGAAATGAGTTTTTTTTTTTAAAAGAAACAATCCAACAACGTAACAAACAAACAAAATCAGAAGACACTGCGATATCAATAGTATTTTTAACAGCGGAATATTATTATTATTAGTGTTTATTTTGACACAAGCATTTAACTTTCGAATATGACATGACGGTCGGCTAGTTACAAATGAAAAAGATATCTGGTTACACCACATTAAATATATTTAAATAAACATATATATATATATATATATATATATATAAATTCATTCACATATAAAGGAATTGGAGAAAAAAATCTTATTTAAAAAGAACCGATTGAAGAATAAACAGGTGCATAACAAAGTTTTGACGTGACCTTAAATCACCTCGTCACCTCAATCTTTGTAATATCACGCGTTTGTACCACGTGATTAGTTTAAACATCCTGATAGAAGGGAAAAGCCTGCTCTCTTTGACCCCCAACCATAGCAATCTGAGATACATCAACAAAACAAAAGGATGTAATATACAGGTGTCCTCCAAAAAGGTTATTGATTTCATCTAGCTGGTCTGCAATAATGATTTTAGCAGAGAGATATTTTGAAAAAAAGTAAATTGCCCCATTCAATGTAGTCACTTTCTCTGTTGGAGTGCAAGGATTCAGTCGCTAGTTTTCCATATACTTGCCAAACGACACAAAACCCACAGGCAAAAAAGAATAAACACAAGAATTGTCAAAAACACAGAAGCTTTTGCAATATTGCCTCCATTTAATTAGCTACATGACAATCCTATATAACATCACAATAGATTTGGTAAAACTATAACCCTTGAGAAATGTGGCAAAGGGGCACATTTGCCTGGCACTTATTGTATAGTAATATCATACTTCCTTTGTGGATTTTCTTTCACAATAATATTTTATCATAATTACTAATCATTCTATTATCAAATGTTGGACAACTGTTTAAATACTCACTGAAAACATGCTGTAGGATACGGTTTGTCCCCCAAAGAAGGCAATTGGGGATGGCGCGATGGCTCAGTGGTAGAGCAGTACTGTTGTCTCGTAACCCGGTGATCCCGGGTTTGAAAACAAGCCGATGGTCTAATTCCGTTTGCCTAAGGCATTATCCTCATTACCAAGTCCGTCGGAGAAGACTTAAAGCCGTTGGTACCCTGGTTGCTTACCTATACAAGCATAAAAAAACATAAACACATTATGCTTTCCTCAGGTTCTTAGCAGTCGGGTAACAAAAAAAACAAACAAATTTGCCTAATATACTAGTTGCCACTTCTGAGCTATTTTGGATCAAATATGTCTTTGTTTAACTCTAGGTAATCTTTTGATGATTAAAATGAACCTTCGGAATAAACTAATCAATGAATCTGGAATTTCAAAGAATCTCGAGAAAGGCCACTCGGAAGAACACAATGCCATTACTCACTATAGTCCTTGCATGCCGACATGCAGATACACTATCATTAAAAGTGGAACATGAATGAAGGTCTCATGTAACTTATTTTAACTTTTTGAAGACAACATTCGGCAACCAAATCAAGCGCCATGTCAACTGTAATTGGTCTACCAAAAGCTCACACGGTCAGCGGATGTGTAAACATTGAGATAAGTGTCGTATATACTGTCGCTCCCAAAACGATGAGTATTTTTGAAATGCCTGGATAAATTCTGACAGCTTCGAAAGTTTTTGTTAACTTTGGTTAGTACACCTTGACCGCAATACAGCTTGTCAGAATGAGCTTCAGGTCCACGTCAACCTTTCCTGTTCCGCAAATGACCACCTGACCACAACATGGCCTTCTGCAATATGACCTGACTTGGCTTTGGAGGTTTCTGAAATACGATTTGACTATGACTGGAAAATGAAAGACGACCGGATTATGAACGGACTCTGAAAGATGATCGCGGGGACTGAGGATCTGAAAGACGATCAGACAACGGCTATAGTCTGAGAGACAGCTTGACTACGACTAGAATTTAAGAGATACCTGACTCCGATTGGAGCCTGGAAGACCTTACCACGATACTGTTCTAAAAGATGGCTTGACTATGACTGGAGTCATGATAATGGGACTAGGATGAGTTCCGTAAGACGACCTCAATACGACCATGATGACGAAATGATGACGAGTTAAGAATGAAAGATGATCTTGCTGTAAAATGTAAATGGATTCTGAAACACGATCTTACTATAAGACTGGAGACTGAAAAATGACCATGATGACGAAATGATGACGAGTTAAGAATGAAAGATGATCTTGCTGTAAAATGTAAATGGATTCTGAAACACGATCTTACTATAAGACTGGAGACTGAAAAACGACCTGACTACGACTTAATTCTAAAAGACGACCTGACTACTGGGGTCTGAAAGAGGACCTGACAGGGGTCTGACATACGACCTGACTACGACTGGATTCTAAGAGACGACCTGACTAACTGGATTCTAAAAGACGACCTGACTTAGACTGGGGTCTGAAAGAGGACTTGACTGGGGTCTGACATACGACCTGACTACGACTGGATTCTAAGAGACGACCTGACTACGACTGGATTCTAAGAGACGACCTGACTACGACTGGATTCTAAGAGACGACCTGACTACGACTGGATTCTAAAAGACGACCTGACTTATAGACTGGGGTCTGAAAGAGGACTTTACTGGGGTCTGACATACGACCTGACTGCGACTGGATTCTAAGAGACGACCTGACTACGACTGGATTCTAAAAAAACGACCTGGCTACGGCTGGAGTCTGAAATACGGCCTGCATGACTACATCTGGTTTAAAGACGAATTGAGCCACTCCCCTTAATATTGTTATTATTTTTGCCCCGTTCATGACTAGTACACTTTGGGTATTATGTCCCATGTAAGTCAATTGTTGGCGCGCCAACAAGATATTCAGTAAAATTTCCGTTACTTCCGTGGATTGATTTTCATAGAGGTCTTTTTTTCAATCGAGGTTGGAAACCATTCTAAATTCATCCAACGATAAACCTGTCAATGTCAATTTCTTCGAGCTTAAAATTAAAAATGAAGCAGCTTAGAAGTTCGCCTGACGGCGCTGTCCTTGCATATTTATGAACATACAGAAGAAGAAAAAAAATCGACTTAAGCCGAACTTATTCAAGTTATTCAAAATATAGACCGAATGGACATATTTGTATGTAAATTAAAAAAAGAACGTCGACCAAACGTTAACCAAAATGTTACTAATACATGTGAGAGAAAGAGAGAGAGAGAGAGAGAGAGAGAGAGAGAGAGACCCCCCCCCCCCAACACACACACACAGAGAAAACACACATAGTTCAAAATCATTTCCTTATCTTTCTTTCATCTGTGAACATATCCATCAGATATGGACAGATAAAGAAATACCACTTCCCTTCCTTTCTTTGAAATCAGATGTATAATGTTGAAATCTTATCTTAATCAAAGAAACATGTATTTACTGCTGTCGCTATACATTTCCTTTTATTGTTGTCTTCATTGTCATTGCCAATTCAGGGTCCCGGTACCAGGTTTCAAGGGGCGCCGAGGGCCGATGTTGTCTCCGAGGAGGCTTCCGTAAAGGCGGCTACAGGAACAGTTTACTTTCACTGGGGTGTGGGGGACTGCCCTGATACATCCAGCTTGGTTTATTCTGGTAAGTATTGAAGTTTTTGTTTGTTGCTTTAAGGATATCACCATTGAATCAGCTTGGAAAATAATGTAAGAGATTTTATCAGTGGCCGATACAGGGCAGAGGGGGACAGGGGGCTTGTGCCCTCCTCCAACCACTTCATACAAACTCAGTCAACTTAAAGAATAATTTAAATTTACACGAAATTGGGTAGGGTGACGGGGTAGGGGATGGTAAAGAAGACTTGTGATGATGTCCTAATAACAAACTATTGTGCTGTCCAATTAATGTGCCAGTGGGAGGGCATAACATGTAAAATATTAATAAGAGTCAATATAAATTGTGTCTGTTAGTTCGTTTTTGTTGAAATCTGAACATTCTTGCATTGGCATTATAAAAGTACGAGATCAGAAACAATTACTGCTGTAGGCATCAATACCATTAACAGGTGGATCAAGGATTGTTTGCTGTTTTTTTGTGTTTTAATGCAGACAAAATAAAAGTAAAATGTAGTGACAGTTACAAAAAATACAATGCCAATTTATTTAAATTGTGAACTAACTAAGTAACAAGGCATTTAGGTGCTTTTTATGATCCTCCCACTTCAGATGTTTTATTAAATATGTTTCTATTTAGAAGATTATGTGATATTCTTTCTTGTCTTGACTTGAAAATGAATAGATAAAATGAACTGAAATAAAATGTCCACTTTATTTCTGGTGGTGTTGTATAGGTTTTGCAGCATCTGGCAGCAGCATGTCAGTAAACAAAGGGGGTGGAGGAAACATCTTGTGCATGGTGAGCGATCCAGAGTATGACATGACTACAGGAGGCAGCCAGGACTTCAGGGGAAAGATCTACAGTCTCGAGTACAGGAACGGCAACAACTTTGGCACCCAATCCGACCTACATGGGCATGTGAGTTACATGGGAACTATCATTCTTTTTTTCTGGGAAGAGGGGCAATGAGGAGTGAGAAAGGGTGGGCTCTACAGCCTGGAGTACAGGAAGGGCAACAACTTTGGCTACCCAATATGATCTCCATGGGCATTGGCCCAATATTTCTTTCTGAGGGTGTGAGAAGTAGCGAGGGTGAGAAGTGGCGCAGGGAAAGCAATACATATGACATCCAAATGGAGATATAAGGATGTGAAAGTTACAGAAGTGCTATAATTATTCTGATTAGAGGAAGATGTACGAAGTTGGGAGGGTGAAGATTACAGTGGTAGGATCTCTTTTCTAAGGAAATCTGGAGGTGGTTGATGTTTCAACTTGTATTTCATTAAAAAAATGAACACATGAGTAAATTTTCGAACTATTCTTTCTCCACATCTCCCCCCCCCCCCCTCCTGTAGGATGTCCCCTGTGCTGCCTGTATGACTGGGGGAGGACGTCAAGCCACTCTGATGATTCCTGGAAGGATTACTTGCCCCGACAACTGGACCCGTGAATACAGTGGCATCCTCATGTCCAGCAGGAATAACAATGTGAGTATATATTCATGGGATTGATATCGGGGCGATTCCGGACAGTGTCGATTCATTTCATTCAAAAATGAAAATCTCGTGATATGACCGTTGACTAATTCTTTCTTGTATCACTAACACTAATGGTCAAATCGTGATATGGAAAAATGGGGTTTAAAAAGACACATTTACATCTACACATATTTAGGGGTCAAAGGAGCAACATTCTGAGATAAAAATAAAAATGTTGAAACTTTAACATCAAAATATCAAATAGTACATCTAATTTGAACAGGTACAAAAGTCTAAAATAACTGTTTACCGTAATTAGTCTTCACCAGGGTCTCTGATATGGAGTTATATCTCTATGATATGAGTTTTGATAATTTGATAATTTTTTTATTTGGTATGTTGTTAAGGATAAGTATGTCAGTGTACCTGGAGTATAATGGAAACGTGGGTATAATTGGCAGATGGATATATTCATATGTCTTTGCTGGAGAGCTGGAGGGGTTGGGTTGGGGGTAGTCTGCACTTTCAAAGTACCTGTCTGACAAGACACACACACAAAACAAAAATCAAAATATCAAGTATGGCAGGAGAGGGGGGGGGGGGGAGGGGCATATCCCAGTGGCGGATCCAGGGGGGGCCCGGGCCCCCCCCCCCCCTTGAGAAAAAAATCATGTAAAATCACGTGATTTTTACCTTTTTTTGGGGTTGGCCCCCCCCCCCCCCCTGGTGCTCAAGGGGGGGGGGGGTGCAAATTGAAATTTTTTTTGAGGATCAAAAAAAAAAAAATGTGCTCACTACCCCCCCCCCACTGAGCGACTTTTCGGCCGGCGCGATTTTCAAATTTTCAGGAGCAAAAAAAAAAAAGTTGGGCCACCTCCCCTAAGAAATCCTGGATCCGCGCCTGGCATATCCAACATGTACCCCACCCCACCCCCCAGTTACTCAACTGAATACTGGTTCGACTATAACTATAACAACCATGTATTATGATCTCTGCCAACTTTTCTTGTAGGTGCGAACATCTTACACCTGTGTTGCAATTGCAGCGGAGTCTCGACCTGGCACCATGGTCGAGGACGGCAATAGCTCTCTTCTCTATCCTGTGGAAGGAGTGTGTGGAACCGGTGGAGGGTTACCTTGTGGCCCGTATGTAGATGGCAATGAACTGCAGTGCGCCGTGTGTTCCAAATAAATCGGGAAGGCTATGGAGTACAGTTCAAGCTGCTTCAGTGACTAACTGTGTATAAATAAAGGCCACCTGTCTATCTATAATGGTCACTCACATCCCAGTCCTACCAAACCAACACCAGACCGACAACAGACTGCACAAGATCTACATTACCTTATTAAATGGCAAATACAGTCAAACCTGTCTATCGAGGCCACCCACGAAAAATAGAAAGTTGACACTGTAGACAGGTGATCTTTCTAGACAGGTACAACAACAAATATTTTTTTTCGAGAGAGACAAAATGCATGGCCCCTATAGACAGGCGGCCTTCATAGATAGGTGGCCACTAAGACAGGTTTGACTGTATTTTGTCAGTTATTGGTTGAGGTTGTTCTTGTGGTGAGACTGGGGAAAGATTTATAAGAGGAAATGTATGTATTTGTTATAGAATGCATCTAGAAAGGCCACCAATCCTTGATTACTTCTTCCATCTTTCTAGGGTGATTTTCATAAAAGAAGAAATATTGTTGTTTAAACAGAAATACCCCTTTTTAATCACATTTTGAAGGGGACTTCTTGATGAAAATGATTACTTTTTGAGGGGCATTTTCAAGAGGTTTAATAATATATTTTCACAGTATATCTATATAACAGATGAGATCTTTTCCTCCAATTTGTACATTCCAAGATGCCAACGTTTTTTTTTTTAATGTCACAGACCCAGAGGAGAAAAATATCCTTATTGTAGGACAGGTATTCTGAACTTACTTGGCAGTGGGCAAGAAATATACTTGAAATTAAATTGCAGACCTCTGAATTTTCATTTTCAATATAAGAGGGCATTTCTATAACCCTCCCCTGCCGATTATATATTTTCATACAGTACTTTAAATTTTTATTCTTCCTATTTTGATTATGATCCCTGTATACTTGGTATAATATCATGATGGAAATGATTATCTATGAGCTAGGAAGCCAATACTTTTACACCAACAGTTGGAGGTGGTGCATTATGCATCTTTTTACATAATCTAAATGGAGTCCTTCAAACAAGTCCTTCTTGTTTTGCGTTTTATGTTTGTTGCGGTCTGCATTGTCTGGCAGGCCAGATAAAGTCAAGAAATCTCAATGAATAAAATATCTGTCTAGGCCATTACAGTAAATAACATTTGTAAAACATCTTCTCTTTGCTGCAAGTATATTAGCATCCTTAGGCAACTTGGCTGAGAAGTAGTTTTAAAAGCATGCAGTATATGTTTAGTAGATATGTCTTTGTTATTGTAGATTCTACATTGAATTGGACTATACGTCTTATAGGACACCTGTAGAAGGTTCATGTATATTGTAAATATGATATGTATTTCAATTACCAATCCATGTTATTGTAATTATGCATAGACTAGTGGACATGACATACATGCACTACTATCTGAATTAGTTACTGGGATGTACATCTGAATTAGTTACTGGGATGTAGATCTCAAACCTCTGTATTTGTTTTTGTTTTTATAATGATGTTCAGAGTTTCTCTGAATAAATGTAAATGTTCTTATAACTTGTACTGCTGTGACTTTTATCAAGTGTGTCTCTTGAGTACGAGGAAGTGTTCAGCCGTAGTGAGGAAAGAATGTTTGGTTGTGCTGGTACTTTGGCTTAAATTTGTGAAGATTTTTATGAGAGCTTATCTCTCAAAATCCTGACTAATAATGATGGTACTGTATTAATACTGTTCATATTTTTATACAAATTTATTTATGACAGACCGAACAACAAAAAGAAAAAAACAATGAAATATAAAAACATGAGGGGGGGGGGGGGGGGAGAGAAAATCAGTGAAAAAGGAATTACTTTTTCTCTGTTGCCCTGTTTCTCAGTTATTCATGGGAATCATTAATAAACATTGTAAAAAGATATTTAAACAAAAATCATAAAGATACATGTAGGACAATTATGCAAGCCATTACCTGCCATGTCCCGTTATAGGTTACATCTATTTTCCCCCTTATGTTTAGTATACATGCTTAAAGATAAACTCCAGTACTGGTAAAAAAAAAAAAATAATTCTCACAGAATCAAACGAAACTTACACTGAATGTTCAAGATTACAAATAAATGACATGTGCCAAACAATTTTGGAAGAAAATGTATACTGGCTGAGTAATGAGCATAGAAAGACAAGGAAACCAAGGTAGTACTAGCCCCGACACCATGTGTGTTGTCCCATATATAGCTTTCTATGTGAGTGCTTGTTACTTTACCAAGACTCGGCCAAATTTATTATGATTTTGATGACTCCAGAACCTTGCAGTGCACACCAATACTTACATGCTACATGATCAACTGTTTCTGATCCTTTCCACACCTTTTCTTTCACAATGCAATCGCATTACCAGTACTAAAGTTTATCTTTAATCACTAAGGCCAACACATGCATAACTTCTGTGTCCTGAATGGCACAGGGGAAGGAGACTTTAACTTTACAAGTCATAATACTCCAAACAATCCTGAGAAGATAATTACTGATTTATAGCTGAACACAAGTTTCAGAGGGCACACATTCTGGAATATTAATTTGTCATAGCCCTGTAAATAACACAAAATTCCATTGCTTGGAATAATAAAGATGAGCTCTGTGTGTGAAGCCAGATACCAAAATTATTAATATCCCTTAATGCTTCTTCAGAAAATCCAGTACACAATTAAAAAAAACAAAACCCTGGGTCTCCTGACTCTCCTCTGATTTTTCACATCTCAAAACCATAAGGCAGAGTATTCTATCGACATCACTACCATGCAATGCTGTACAGTATTTTTATAGCGCCATCTTTCGGTGAAGGCGTACAACAGAGAGATTTTTGGTTCCTGTCCCCAAGCATCATCATGCACGTCATCAGTTGTTGATGCATTGTGGGACATGGCTGTCGTCACATCAGGACATTATACGTAAATCTGAAGAAGTGTCTGTAGAATACTCTGCCTTTAAAATCTGTTGATCCAGTAAGCAGACCAGGGGGTGTTTCACAAAGACTATGATCAACTTTAAGTTGGACTTAACTATGGCAGGCCATTCGTGCCACTGTTTGCTCTCATCATTTACTGGCATTAGTCTCTTAAGGTTAATATAAATCATGGTCGCAAATCTACATAATTTACATTTTTTGATAAATCATTAATGAAGGAAAAAAACATCTAATGATCATAATGGTGACAGCAAACAGTGGCATGAACAGCCTGTCATAGTTAAGTCCAACTGAAAGTCGATCTTAGTCTTTGTGAAACACCCCCCTGAGGTTTACGAGCAGAGAAACAAAACTGGACAAGGCTTGTCCTAGATCAAGATGAGTCATCTATCTCTGCTCCACACTCTGAAATGTGTAAAAAATGAATATCCTAGAGTGACATTGTCCAGCCTAAACAGAACTACATGGATCAAGACATAGAGCACTGTATAAATTAATCTTGCATTGTTCAAACGTTGATGGCATTACTGTCATTTTATAAAAAAAGAATATGATAGACTTTCAATCAAGATTATGCTCCATGGTGCTCCATTAAAGCTTTGAAGTGACCTGTGAAGCTTCAGATGAAGCAATGGCCAAGTTTATTAAATTTTCGCAACTGGTGGAGGTGCTGTTGCTTTTTCAAAAGAACATCACACTTTACATCAAGATGGTGCTCTAACATGGTTCCATGAAGTCCTCCGTGAAGGCAGTCTGTGAAGCCACAGCTGAAGCAATAGCTGTGTTTCTACTCTTTATCCCACACTTTCACCTGCTGAATCCTACACTCCAGATATCCCTGAGATGCCACCCATTGGGAATGCATGTTGAATGAACATGGTCTCCATGAGGTAAACTTACTCATCGCAAGAAATACAAGTATGTAGAGTTCACAAGTAATTCTGATGACTATGGCATCCATGGGGGAGTCCAAGCATTCTTGGGGGTGTGGGAGGGAGGAGGAGGGGGCAAGGGGTGACTGTATCACTTGTCTGTCAAGGAAGTGTCCATGGACTCACTCATCATCGAGTCTGATGTGGTATTCAACTTCTGTGGCCCATCATCAGCTGCACAAAACGAGAGGATGATAGAGAGAATTATAAAGAGGTGAATACCATTAGACAGGGATTAAATGGGGGTCCACGCTCAAAAGTATAAAGTCACATAATATAACAGACTAGGGCCCTGTTTCACAAAAAGTTGTTATCCATATTGAAAACTCCCACAATTCTCTAACAAATTTTCTCTCAGCCAATCAAATGCAGTGTTCAGTATCTCATGTCAATAATTGTAACTTGTAACTGCCAAGTTTTTTATGAATCACAGCCCAGTTCACAAATGAATGCTTCAACTATAGCAATTAAACAGAACCACCCATAAGTTTATCAAAGGCTCATCCAACTTAACAACAACCAATTTATTCACATACATTCTGACTACAGAAATACAATTCCTCATAATAGGTGAATGCATTAGTTGGCTCATGGCTCTTAAGAGAAAACCTGCTAACAAATATGAATATAATTTTGAAGTTTGAACATGTCTCTTAAAAATTGCTTTCTATTATTTACAGAAGTGGGAAATACCCTCTTGCGTTGAAAGATTTCCTAAAAAGATATACGTAAAATATGACAAGCCATTAATTTAGGCTTTAAAAATAATCCTTCCCAAATAATCTACTTACTGTCAAGTATCCTCTGCAGCTCATGGATGGCGCTGATGAGAACGTGGAACTGCTTCTTCCTATCCTCCAACTGTGGATGAGAGACAATGGAAATAGAAGAGCAAGATGCACCATTAACCCACAAGTTGCTAACTTCATGCTCACTCGCTCATGGTGAGCTGCATCATCAATGTACACCCGTTTACACTATGAACATGACAAACAAAGAAAGAGGACAAAATATACAGTTCCTCATTCTACCCTCAACAATTGCTGTGGTAGACAAAGGAACATCCCTTCACTGCTATTATGTAAAAATGTGTAGAACAGGTGTCACATGCATATTCACCTTTTTACATAATAGCAGTGAAGGGATGTTCCTTTGTTTACCTGAGGAACTGTATATTTTGTCCGCTTTCTTTCTAAAAATGTGTAGAACAGGTGAATATGTATGTGACACCTGTTCTACACATTTTTACATAATAGCAGTGAAGGGATGTTCCTATGTCTACCACAGCAATTGTTGAGGGTAGAATGAGAAACTGTATATTTTGTCCTCTTTCTTCGTCTGTCATGTTCATAGTGTTACATCTTGTTTGCCCACTTGCCGATGAACACAACCAAAGAAAGTTGATGATATTATTTCTATGCTTCTGCTTGCTTTTGCTCATCACACATCCAATATCTTATTTTTATTATGTTTAACAAAAATCCTAGAGAGCATTTGAATTGGGGCCTGAACATAGAATACTTGGATTTTTAATATATTGATAATATCGAGAATCAAGAACTATTACAACTTGTTATTGATATCATCATCATCATCATCATCATCATCATCATCTATATGGGAGTGTAGGATATCCTGTAGGTCTCCAGGTCAGATCACTTGGTACATTAGTAAAGGTCTATAAATAGTGCATGTGTGGATGTCAGACTATGCTATTACAAAGTGTTTGTCTGACCAAAAAGAATCCAAGCTGTGTTTAAATGAGTTGATGCTGGTAGCAGTTACTAGAGACACTGGTAAACTGTTCCAAGACTGGATGACCCGTTTGCTAAAAAGTTACTCCTGACATTCAATCGACAGCGAGTAGTGAATAACTTTAATGAATGGCCTCTTGTTCTCTGATACTGTGATTTCACAAAAAAACATTCTGGATCGAGTCTATCTATTCCATGAAATAACTAAAAAACTTGGATCATGTCTCCTCTTATGTATTTATATGAATCAGGGTTCTCACTCAACATTTAAGTTGAAGATGTTTTAGGTACTACATCAGTCTGGGCTGCACATTGTTTTCCTTTTAGCTACTTTCAGGAAGCCAGTTTAATCTCTTACCTTCTGTTCTAAAGACTCCTTGGTGCTATTCAATTCACCGAGATCCTTATCCAGTTCCTGCAATTTGCTGATAGGGAGATGGTAAAGGGAAAATATAATTGTCAGTCAGAAGAGAAACAAGAACTGTCTACATAAAACATAGGAGACAAAATATATCCCCAATGATAAAAGGTAGCAACCAAAGGACATTGGTGCCACTGCGATGGCTGGGAAAATGGGACATGGACCGTGAACCAAGTGATCCTAAGTCAAGTGACTAATCCACTCGACCACACTGCTTCTACACCTGGAAGGCTACAAACAATATCAAGGAAAACAGTAAGGTGTTTTTTCGTTGTTGATAAAAGAATAATGTCAATATAAAAATCACAAAGCACATTGTTCCTCCCATTCACACCATGTATAGTTTATCATTGCTTTGATGAACAGGGAAGAATAATAAAGGGAGAGAAGATAGGAGAGAGATAGAGAGAAAGCAACATACATGTGAGTGACAAGGGAAAAACAGAGAGTGAAAGAAAGAGGAGAGGAGGAGAAAAGAGAGATGGGGAGACCGAGAAAATGTGTGAAAGAGAGAGGGAGAGGGATTGAAAGAGAGAGAGAGAGAGATGGAGAGAGAAAAGAGAGGGGGGAGGGAAAGTGTGGGGGGGGGGGGGGGAGGGAAAGTGTGGGGAGGGGGGGGGGGAAGTGTGTGGGGGGGGGGAATACTATATTACAATAACTTATATATGACATAAAGCCCAGAGCAATTGTCATAGGTGCTATTGTTAGGTCACCGAAATGTGTCTTACTTCAAGGTTTCTTTCCTGTCGGGTTGTTTCTGGATAACCTTCGCCAATGTGTCGTACTCCTGCCTGTTCTTTCTCTCTCTCTTGGCATCTGAAAGCTCTGTCTTGCATGCATTTATCTGCTGGTGGGCATCCTTGATGTTGTGTTCTGTATTCATAGGGATTGTCATGGAAACATAATTTGTTTTAAAAAAGTGTTTTGCTCTTGATGTAAGGGGTCCCACTCACTTGATTAAAAACATATCAAAAGGCGATTAAGCTAGAAATGATTTAACCCCTAAATTACAAAAAAATAAACAAGAAACACCCAGTGAATAACATAAAAAGAGAGATAGTTCCCAAAAACACAAGGAATTACTGAGGGAAGAACTTAAGAAGTACTGAAAAAGATAAAAATCATAATGCATAAAACATTATAACAAATGCTTTTGTAATACACGTTTCTTTTAACCAAAGATTTTTATAATCTTCATTTCATTCCATACATATCACAAGTTTAGAATCTTGTATGGTAGTAATATAGAGATAATTTTTATGAATAATTGGGTATTTGAGCAATGAGATAATACACTTTATAACTCAACTTCAGCGAAGGCCTTCCAGATTTTTTCTTCTACAAATACAGTTACATTACCGGAAATCTAAACTTGTTCTGAGTTACATTTCTTGAGAAGTCTCTTACCAATTGTTGAGTAGAGCTCTTCATAGTTGGACATCTCTCTGATATTCATTTGATGAATCAGCTGTGTTCTTTCTGTGGCAAAGTCTACCTGACATAGCATCATCAGCATCTTCTGGTATGTAACCGTGCTGAAAAATTAAGTTACAAGTAAAGATTTACTTTATGATGAACCATAAATACACTCATCATAATGAATTACAGGTAGCCCATTATTCATTCTTGCCACTTTTATATTTACTTTAATTTAAAAAAAATGTATACATATATCCAACTTGTTACTTAAAATCTAGGCATCTGTACTCCTTGGCCAGTGCTGATATAAACTAGGCCTTGTTAATTGAAAAATCATATAACCTGCAATTAGTGACATTAGATCTTGAACAGGTATAGCAGTTAGTTGTCATGGTTTCAGCATCTGTTCTTTATGGGACTGTGTACCTTAATAGAAAAGTTCTCTCGGTAACTACTCAACATATTTCATATACTTTGGAAATCTTGTGGCAAATTGGTCTGTTTGGACTAGTTTTCTTCTCTTCTTCTTTTTTTGGAGAAGTACAGGCCAACATGTTGTTGATGTATCTTTGTACTTTAAAAGCTGTTCAAATAAAAGTTGATGTAAGACACAACAACCACCAACGATAACTAACCATTCTTCTTTGGTCTGATCTGTGTGACACCATTTCACAAAAGTTTTGAGTAGATTGCTGATTCTCCTGTCATCTCCACCACTCTCTCCTTCAATTAGGAGCCTCTTCCGTATTACTTCTTCTGCATGTATCAAAATAATTCAAACATCAACAATTATGATCCCCCTGACAAAGGGGTGCGGCGGTATGCATACCTGAAGTAAGCGACTGTAATAATGATCGTCATCATCATAATTTAATGAGGATCTGAGATTACAGTCACTAACTTCAGTCACTAGCCCGCACCTCTTATGCAATTGTATTTTTGTGGAGTGGTTAGCGGTGAAACCTGTGAGAAAGTGTAGATCTATATTATAATATCTTTGGTTCTAGGAAAAATACTCCAAAACAGATAAGAAAAATGACACAAAAGGGGTAAGAAAAATGACACAAAAGGGGTAAGAAACATAATGCTTTTAAATCGTGACCAGAAAATTAAGGCATTATTTTTAACAATTGATGAAGATTTAGATCTATCATCGAGACCTCTAGTTGATGTTATGGTATGATTTTATCATTTTACTCGTCACACCGGATTACGGGTCAAAGTCTGGATACGAAAGTACATTAGCTATTAGCGCCCACCTATATATCGATAGAATGAAAATAAGGTTCTAGTTCAGAAGTCTATCCAAACTATGACCCGGAACATACCGAAAAATTGACTAAATCTTCCATCAATTGTTCAAATAATGGTCATGATTTAAAAGTTGTTATGTTTCTTACCCGTTTCGTGTCAATTTTCTTATCTTTTAAGGAGTATTTTTCCTAAAAACGAAGACTTATTAGACTATATACACTTTTTTCACGGGATTCAAGGCAAACTGCTGCACTGACGGTGGGGTGCGGGCCTGCGCATTTTTGTTAAATTAGCGACTGTAATCTAAGCAATACGGTCGCTAACTTAACACACGCGCGCTGCGCCCGTACCCCACCGTCGGTACGGTATGCAACTATTGTGCAGCAGTTTGCCCCGAATCCCGTGAGAAAGTGTATATAATAAGTCGACCATCGACCGACCAACAGTCTGACAAATATTAGAATAGAAAATGAAACCAACGACCATCGACCAAATACTATTGAATGGAAAAGTCCAGCAACGATCATCGACCAAAATAGTAAGGCATCTTTGTTTTTCAAAAAGCCAGTGACCATCGAACAGTACTAGTCCAGTCCAGTCTAAGCACAAAACTATTATATTTCTTTTGTATTTTTAGAACGAGACATCACTTGTTGATTAAAAAAGTCCAAACTATTTTTTTGCAATTATGCAATGACATGTCATGACGCACAAAACGGCGTAGAATTCAACTTTTCATCCACCAAATGAATACGAACACTTGCATTATACACTCTTCAATACCTGTATCACCGTTATCGCAAACAATAAAATCAAAATCTATATCTACTGCTAATATATGAAGACTAACAATATGGTAGGAAGCCTTTGTGTTCCTCTTTCTCACGTCACTTCAATAAAAAATAAAAAAATACTAACGTGATATCCTAAGTGTGGGACAACGCAAAATAAGGGGGAAAGAAGCATTCCTGAATTTTTACCCATAAATGACAATTAATTTTATTGATAACACCTTGTGTGAGCTCGAAATGCTACAAACTTATAACGCACACACTGATAAATAATTCTATGATTTCAATATTGGGGGAAAAGTGAAAATATATCCAGTGAACTCACCGTCTGTCGCCATCATGAATAAATGAATATTTTACTCGTTGCCAATTTGAGAATCAGTAAATTTGTAATGGTCGACACTGCACTAGCACTGCACTATTATGTATGGTGGCCCTGAAGGGACATCGCGAATAGACTAAATCGTGAAAAATATGCGATAAAATTCACGATATCGTCAATTTTATCGCATATTTTTCACGAAGAAATTCACGAAATTGACGATATCGTGAACTTTATCGTGAACTTTTGACGATGAAATTGACGATATCGTGAATTTTATCGTGAAAAGTTCACGATATAAAGTTCACGATATCGTCAATTTTATCGTGTACTCTATCGTGTACTCTCCTGACGGGCGCTTCGTAAACAAAACCAGCCCTAGCTGGGGGAGACAGAGAGAAGGAAAAAAGGGAAAGGGAAAGAGAAGATAAAAGGAAAGAAAGAATAATAAGAAGAAAAGAGGGAAACGGGGGGGGGGCGAAGGGCTCTTGCCTCCTCCTCACCCCCCCCCCTCCCCGCCAAAAAATAAATCAGAGAGAGAGAGAGAAGGGAAAGGGAAAGGGAAAGAGAAGATAAAAGGAAAGAAAGAAGAGGAAGAAAAAGAAAAGAGGAAAACGGGGGAAGGGCGAAGGACTCTTGCCCCCCTCCCCCCCCGCCAAAAAATAAATCAGAGAGAGAGAGAGAGAAGAGAAAGGGAAAGGGAAATAGAAGATAAAAGGAAAGAAAGAAGAGGAAGAAGAAGAAAAGAGGGAAACGGGGGCAAAGGGCTTTTGCCTCGTCCCCCCGCCCCGCCAAAAAATAAATAAGAGAGAGAGAGAGAGAGAGAGAAGGAAAGGGAAAGAGAAGAGAAAAACGAAAAAGAGGGAGAATAGGAAAGAAAGGAAAAGAAAGAAAAGAAAGGAGACAAGAGCCCTTCGCCCCTGTTTCCCTCTTTTCTTATTCTTTTTCCTCTTCTTTCTTTCCTTTTATATTTTCTTTCCCTCTCCCTTCTCTTTCCCTTTATGGCGGGAGGGGGGGGGGGGGTAAGAGCTTTTCGCCCTTCCCCCGTTTCCCTCTTTCCGTCTTCTTCTTCTTTCTTTCCTTTTATATTTTCTTTCCCTTTCCCTTTCCCTTCTCTATCTCTCTCTCTCTCTCTCCTATTTATTTGTTGGCGCGGGAGGGGGGAGGAGGCAAGAGCCCCTCTTTTCTTCTTATTCTTCTTCCTTTCCTTTTTTATTCTCTTTCCCTTTCCCTTCTCTCTCTCTCTCTCTTATTTATTTTTTGGGCGGGGGGGGGGATGCAAGAGCCCTTCGCCCCCGTTTCCCTCTTTTCTTCTTCTTCTTCCTCTTCTTTCTTTCCTTTTATCTTCTCTTTCCCTTTCCCTTTCCCTTCTCTCTCTATCTCTTATTTATTTTTTTGGCGGGGGGTGGGGAGGGAGGAGGCAAGAGCCCTTCGCCCTTCCCCCGTTTCCCTCTTTCCTTCTTATTCCTCTTCTTTCTTTCCTTTTATATTTTCTTTCCCTTTCCCTTCTCTCTCTTATTTATTTTTGGCGGGGGGGGGGGGGGGAGGAGGCAAGAGCCCTTCGCCCTTCCCCTGTTTCCCTCTTATTCCTCTTCTTTCTTTCCATTTCCCTTCTCTCTCTCTCTCTCTCTTATTTATTTTTTTGGCGGGGGGGGGGGGGTAAGAGCCTTTCGCCCTTCCCCCGTTTCCCTCTTTCCTTCTTCCTCTTCTTTCTTTCCTTTATATTTTCTTTCCCTTTCCCTTTCCCTTCTCTCTCTCCTTATTTATTTTTTGGGGGGGGGGGGGGGGGGGGGAGTGAGGAGGAGGCAAGAGCCCTTCGCCCCCCCCGTTTCCCTCTTTTCTTCTTATTATTCTTTCTTTCCTTTTATCTTCTCTTTCCCTTTCCCTTTTTTCCTTCTCTCTGTCTCCCCCAGCTAGGGCTGGTTTTGTTTACGAAGCGCCCGTCAGGAGAGTACACGATAGAGTACACGATAGAGTACACGATAAAATTGACGATATCGTGAACTTTATATCGTGAACTTTTCACGATAAAATTCACGATATCGTCAATTTCATCGTGAAAAGTTCACGATAAAATTCACGATATCGTCAATTTCGTGAATTTCTTCGTGAAAAATATGCGATAAAATTGACGATATCGTGAATTTTATCGCATATTTTTCACGATTTAGTCTATTCGCGATGTCCCTTCAGGGCCACCATAATTATGCGATACAACCATCGAAATCCAATACGCGATCGAGAGATATAGATGGGAGGGGGGGGGGGGGGGCGGAAAAGAGTGCAAGTTTGAAAGCAAGATAGGAACGAAGTTGAGCGGTCAAGGATACACACAAATAATTACAATTGTACCATTGAAACTCAACTCAGATCCTTTTATTTCAAGTTATTACACAATGCTGTAGCATTTTTATTCAAAATTGGAAGGAGATTCTCCAATGTGTTATTTTTTGTAAAAAGTCCTCCGAGATCTTGAAACATATGTTTTGTGAGTGTGAAATGGTTGTTCCTTTATGAAAAGAACTGACTGATTATATTGACTATAGGATTAAGGAGTCTACAATATGTGCAGATTTTAGTTAATATCTTTGGTGTTGACATTGGCAGTAAACATGAAAAATGTACAAGTTATTTATTTATTAGTTTTAAATTTGATGTTATTAGATGTCAATTTCAGCAAACTAATCAAAATTTCCAATCTTTTATTAATTTTCTAAAAATGAAGAAAAAGATTGAATACAAGATTGCTGATAAGAGAGGTAAATTGAGCCTGCATTTAAAAAAAATGGATGTTTGAGTTGTAGATCATTATGGTCCACCCCCCCCCCACAACCTCTCCAAAAGAAGACAAAAATATTGTGTACAGTTGGTATAGAGACATTTGTTGTGTGTGTGCGTGTGTGTGTGTTTTGTTTTGTGATGTTTTGTGTAGTGCTGTGTTGGGTACGTTTATTCCTTTCCATGTATTTAAATAAGGTTATGAATAGTTTTATTTGTTCATTCATTAGTAGTACACTGTAGATTAGTTGCTACTATGCAGATATATTGTATATGATGCACTTTTTCTTAGATGTTTTAATCTGCTATCTAACCTGCATGTTCTTTGTGTTGTGTTAAAGTTTTTATATTGAAAAAAAGAAAGAATAATACTCAACCCCAACTACATGGCGTGCTTACAGAGCTAGAGAATACCGCGGAGGCCGTACATCACACCCATAGTCATTGCGAGTAGATAAACCGGGTAATAACCCTTTTTAAAGTGAGCACACTTATTTTCCCTTTTTTATTGTGACCCCGGAAAATTGAAAATCGGGCCGTTCGATATTTCGCTCAGTGGGAGATGGAGGTGGAGGGGGGGGGGGGGGGGTGTAGCATGGTGAGGGCTATTTTTACTTAACAATTTTTTTTTTTTTGGGGGGGGGCAGGGGGGATTCAAAGTTATTCGCTCTCATATCTTACATAGTCCCCTTAAATTAGAGGCACATGTTATTGAGAAAGGAAAAGGGGTCATCCGGGCATTTATCAAAAAGGGGAAGGACACTATTAGAAAAGAAATGGAGCACGTATCAAAGTAAAAAGGGCAATTTAGTATCAGAGGTTAAAAGGTGCACTCACCAGAGATGAGAAGGGACAAGTATCAGAAGGAGAAGAAACTCTTATTAAAAAGTAACAGGACCGAGCGATTATCGTGAGGAAAAAGGGCAATTATTAGAAATAATAAAGGGCCATCAATCGGAGGTGAAAGGGAGCACCTCTGAGATTTGAATAGAGGCAATTATCAGAGATGAATTGAATTGTCCAAAAGAGTAATGGATCAATACATTCCTTATGAATCTACGCAACCTTCATCCTTCACACTTCGCATTAAATAGGCCAATTATTGCTCTCGTTTTCTTTTATAACAAAAACAAGTTTTAACTTTTTTTTCTTTATTACACAAAAGAATATTAGATTGGCAACATTGGCTATTGCATATTCATAAGTAAATCGCAGTTTCCACTCCGTTGATTGGCTGTGACAGCGCGCTACAATTATGATAGCACGTGTATTTAGTACAAAACTAGATCTATACAGCGCTACATACAGTACACAGCATGCAGACTGTACATAATTATATGCGCTGCGTAGATTCTATACGTACACAACCTACACTCGCCTGGCGCGCCCGTCGAGGTTCGACGACGTACGCGAGGCGATCGCGAAAATAATTAACTGAGCTAGCTAGCTGCACTGAGGCGAGTGTTCACAGGTTCTTCACGTAAAAGTCACCCCTGCTTGGTGTAAAATCATACTCTTGCGATGTCTAAGAAAGTGAAATTAATGAATGGTGCAATGGAGCCACAAGTCGACGATGGTTTATCGGGACAGCAGCTGTTTGGTAGTGGTGATGGCCTTACATACAAGTGAGTCAGTGATGTAATTCTCGAAAAACATGTTGTTTAGAAAAATTCAGTAGGCCTACAGCCTACCTCCAGTGCAGGAATCAATGACCAGATGACGGATGGAATTGTAACAATGCCAATGTAGATCTAAATCTAGATCTACATCATGTACAATAACAATAGTACAAACTGCAGTACCCTGGTAGCTGCTGATCTCCGATAGAGCGGAGGAAGAAGAAGAAGAAGAAGAATAGTCATGCACATGTAGATCTAGGCCTAGAAGGGGATATGCCTCACCATGCTCACAGAGTCTTGTCTAACAGTAGGCCTAACGTTAGACTATTAGGCCTATTGGCCTAAACAGTTTATACAAATGCATATTGAAATGGGATAGAAGTTGTAACTAGAAAGGCTGTCCAATTTCCTATTTAGTTAATGTTCGATCTAACATTTTATAATCTTGATAACATTTTCCATGATAAAAATGTAAAATTAAAAGAAGAAAAAAATGTGTCGCGTCTCACGGCCGCACAAGTAAGGAAAAAATAATAAGACTCATTTTTTTAAGGGGTAGCCTAGGTCTAGAGTAGGGTGTCTGATCGCGCACCCAATGTTGTGTGCTAAAACCCTTCCCATAGAGATTGTACGCTTCCCTATGTGGTCTACGTGCATTGCGCGACCATCCAAAATTGGTCAATGATTTTATGAAAAAATTTGAAATTCAAACCTTTATAACAAATGATCCTGAAAGTGAAACTCAATAAATGAGGTGTCATATGAAAGAGCAGGTTTTTCTCCATATTCCCCATCGGGGGCCACCCCCAGAATTCTAAAAATATCTTGGTCAAAACAGCGATTGAAATGTTGTTTGCATCCTAGCTCCAAAATTTGCCACTTTCCTGAGCTGCCGCCCCGCGGCTTAAGCAGGGCTAGACGTAAGGATAATATCCAGATGCTTTTTTTTTCGCTAGCCCCAAGGGATCATTTGTTATAACAGTTTGAAAATACCCTTCCCACATATTTGGAATCAGCTAATTAGGGAGGCGTGAGCTCCGCTCAGTCCAAACCATGGTTACATCGCGTAACATGTGCGCTTATAGTGAATGAAAGTATGGGTGGCCGTTCCCGCCATAGAACCCGGAAGTGAATACACGTTGTAGTCAATGGCAATATCGCGGAGTTGTCTCCGCGATATTGCCATTGACTATAACGTGCATTCACTTCCGGGTTTTTTGTGCGACGAACGCTAACCATACTAGTCAATGGCACGTGTCGCGGAGACAGCGTAGCTCAAGCTTGCAAGTCGCGCATTGGCTTAGCAGCATGCGTACGATATGCATACGCTTGCATATCGCGCGATACAGCTGTTTGGCTAAATTTAGCAAAACAACATCACTCTGCGTGGACGTCTTTTTCGTCGATTTTGACCAAAATGATATGAATATACCAGCATTTTGGAGGGGCTGTATCTTTTGATTGAAACATCGGTGAAGCTTCAAATTTGAAATGTATTATTCTGATTACACTTTTTATTCAAATATCAAACAAAAATGGTGAAAAACGATCCCAAATTGAAAATTGAAAAATCGTTCAGACACCCTATCTAGAGTCTAGTCCTCCCTGGTATTATGGTAGTGGTAGGGTGTCTGATTGCGCACCCGATGTTGTGTGCTAAAATCCTTCCCATAGAGATTGCAGGCATCCCTATGTGGTCTACGTGCATTGTGCGACTATGCAAAATTGGTCAATGATTTTAATTCTTATGAACAATTTTGAAATTCAAACCTTTTTTACTCGTGAAACTCAATAAATGTGTCATATGAAAGAGCAAGTTTTTCTCCATATTCCCCATTGGGGGCCACCCCGGAATTCTAAAAATATCTTGGTCAAAACAGCGATTGAAATGTTGTTTGCATCCTAGCTCCAGACAACTCACTTTCCTGAGCCGCACCCCGTGGCTTAAGTAAGGCTAGACGTAGGGATAATATCCAGGTGCTTTTTTTTTTCGCTAGCCCGAAGGGATCATTTGCCGCAACAGTTTGAAAATACCCTTCCAATATTTTTTTAATCAGCTAATTAGGGAGGCGTGAGCTCCGCTCTGTCCGAATCATGGTACCATCGCGCACATAAATATGCATTCGGACCGCTAAAGCTTCAAACCCGGAAGTGAGTACACATTATAAGTCAATGGCGATATCGCGGAGACGTCAGGTTTTGCACATTCAGCTACATGCGTACGCCATGCATACCGTATTTGCCGGCGTAAAGGCCGCAGTATTTTTGGAAGAGAAAAATATCAAAAAGTCTTGCATTGTTGACATGAAGACGAAAATAAACGTCCTAACACAACATGTGCCGATAGATCTTGATCTAAGTTCGTGCCAATGCATTGCAAAGGTAAAGGAAGGGACAGTCTAACGGAGCTGCCGCGAACATCCATCCGAAGTCGCCATTTTGTTTTTCCATTTCATGCAGTACATTGTGGTAGGGTATATCGGACACCAAATCTGCCTGCGATCACTTTTTTAGCTAAACTTCCGGTAAATTATAAGAATATGGATGAATTTGGCATCAGTTTGTAAAAAAAAATTTGTGTTTTCGAGAAAATTATGATTATTTTGTTTTGTCTGTTTGTTTTTTTTCTCCTTTTTTTTTTTTTTTTCTTTCCTCTTTGAAATGTCAAAGTTGGGGGTGCGGCCTTATCGCCGGCAAATACGGTACGCATGCATATTGCGCGATGGAGCATCTGCTAGCTGTTTGGCTAAATTTAGCAAAACGACATAACTCTGCGTTTACGTCTTTTTCGTTGAGTCCGAGAGTCCAACCAAAATGATATGAATATTGCAGAGTTTTGGAGGGGCTGTTTCTTTTGATTGAAACATCGGTGAGTCTTGAAATTTGAAATATATTATTATTATTACATTTTTTATTCACATATTTAAAAAAAATGGTGAAAAACGAACCCTAGTAATGGTGTATTATTACTATTGTTAAGTTGGTTTAAAATCTAGGCAATATTTGTCCGCTTTTTGTCAGATCAACGAAAAAGGCGTACACGCAGAGTTATTTTGTTTTGCTAAATATAGCAAAATAGCTGCATTGCGCAATATGCAAGCGTACGCCTGTTGCATGCGCTAATTTTGACCGAAATTTTTTGTCTCTTTCGTTCGTTAGCCTCTGATTTGGGTAGGGTCAGCTCCTCTCTTTAGAGACAGAACAGGACCATAGGCGTAAGTGTTCACGAATTGGTGAAACGTTTCTTTACACCAAACTTGGCCAAACTAATGCCTAATTTTGATATTTTACCGGATGCATATCCGATTGATTTTATATTGTAAATTAGGCCTAGGCTATCGGTTCCACTTTCCAACTTGACTGAATGAATCCGTTTAATGGTCCATTTTCAGGAAATTATGGGTCTAAATCAACATCCATGTTGAAAATCTTGCAAGCCGTATTTTAACTCTCGCTGCGCATGACGTCATCTAAATCTCATTCCTTCTAGTCTACGCCGAAGGCAAAATGATTATGAAGGAAAAACTGTGCACGAGCTACGAGTTCTTAATGACGTTATCACAGTTTTTCCTGCCAACAGGAATGGCTGCATGATTGAGCAGCGAATTTGTATTCGCTTTTTGGTACAGATTTACCGCGCATTACCAGTTATACTGTCACTGCAAGTGCGATTTCTCATTTTTGAAGTCATACCGTGCTAAAAATTCCTAATTCTTATTGTCTAATGTTGGCAGGAATGGATATATTGCAAACAAGCCCAAGATATCGTGGGATGATTATCACAACTAAATATCCCATTAATTGCAACTGCGGGCTGATGAAGACGTAAAATTTATTAGCTTGATAATTTGCGATCAGGATAGTTAAAATGGCGGATTATTTAGCAATCTCGAGCTGATGAAGACAGGCCTAATCAGGAAAAATGAGCCAGGAATAACAAAGTTCTGTTTGTTAAAGTAATGCTTGCATTTCCATAATTTAAATAAACAAATTCGTTTTCACTGGCTGCCTGCCATAGCAACAAACAGTTGACAAAGAAGTTAACTCCGTTTCGTTAACGATCAGCCATGCACAAAGAAGAAAAAAAACTTCATGCATGATGGCTGATTGTCAACAAAACGGAGTTGCATCAAATGAAAGAAGAAGATCTAAGCTTTACAAATATGTGTCATTTAATAATAATAGTGATTAATTTATGTTAAAACATTGATAATTCTCGGTTTCATTTTTTCTGGGATGCACTGTAAAGACCCTCTAACAGGAAAAGCATGTTCATATTTCGTAGTGAATTTTGCTAATGCATAATTTGTAATTTACAGTATTCTAAATGGTGGTTTACGTAAAGATACTGCAAAAACACCTACAAAAGGTAACTAATTGAAGGCACTTTAACCCTCTATTTGCCTGTCTTTTAAAGGCCCACTGCACTACTTGTAGCTACTTGCCCCCTCTGTATAGAAAACAAAACCTAATCGGTGACCATTGGTCCCCCATAATCCTCTTTTTCTTAATATGTTATTTGAGAGTTGAGTTAATGAGATAACCACCTGTCCAGTGACCTTGCAGGGTGCTCTAATCCCTCCTGTAAACTAGTACTGATAAGCTTTAAAGAAAAGTTGATATCTGATTTCATGAAATATATTTTCATTTTAAACTTTTTTTCTTTGCAGTGACTTCTTAATCCTACCTGGGTACATTGATTTCACATCAGATCAAGTGGTAAGTTACAGATTAGATTTAAATCATTATAACTGAAAGTGTCTGAAAGACTGAAACCAATTCTGTCGTCAAGTCTGCCTTGAAGAAATATGCAACCTTTGTTAAGGTTAAACAAACGTAATATGACAAATAATGCAATTTCTGTTTGTTTAATTTTGTTGTTGTTGCTTTTTTTGTATTTTTTTTAAATGAAGGAAGTATTAACCATTGTTTAAATTGTGGATCTTTTGTTCATATTTTTCAAAGTGTTAAATTCATAATTAAGAGAAACAAAGGACCTTTTACTGTATTAAAATGTGGAGGATGTTAATCATGCATTTTTGCCCAAATTTTAACTGGCTTTTGATTTTCACAGGTTTTCTGAATAGAAGTCATAATATTTAAGCTACTTGCATCCTTGTCATTGGCTTACAAAAGAATCCCAACTCATTTCATCAGAGATTTTAGACTTGAATTGCCTCTTTAGATTGGAATTGACTCAATTGAGCGTTCTACTTTTCTCTTTGTCACAGTGTTTACAGATGATCTTAAATCAGTGACCTTTGAAACGTAGGATTTGTGTCTTTTAGCCTACATGTGATATATCAGTTTTTCACACAAAGTAAACTTGTTTATTATACTGTGTCCTTGGGCTTTCCACCTATGGGATGCATAGATTGATCCATACTCCTGACTTTTCCATAAATTTGCATTCAGCTGTCAGCTGTACATGTATGTGGGTGTGAGGAAATCAAGGGAGATTGATTGTGGAGAGAGAGAGGGTTTTTTTCTGGGGGGGGGGGGGATAAGTAGGAGGCTCAGAAGAGGATTGTGATGGGAATGGAAAAAAGAGAGAAGAATTTGATGAATATAAATGAGTTTCACATCATACTAAAATGTTGGAAGAGTGAGAATGGTGGGTTTGGGCAGAGAAGAAATTATTGTTATAATAGGTGTTTCACCAGGTCCAGGATGCAATGATAAACTTGTTGTTGTGGCCTCGCCTGTTGCATCAATATCATCACATCCAATAGATTCAGCTGGCAGCTTGCAAGACTGTAAAAATAGAATCATATTATCGTACATGAAGTTGACATTTAATTTAATTTCTTTTCTCTCGCATGGACTAGTTATGGAACAACAGGGTTCAGAGAATTAATCTCAACATATCGAAATTCAGTTTACTTCAAACAATGTGATTGTTTATTAAGTGGAATTTTGATAGAAAATTAAGGAGGAATTGTCGACAGCTCTTGTATATTTGTTTTGCTGGAAAATAGATAACTACTAACAAATAAACATCAACATTTTATTTTGAATGATCATGAATGCTCAGTGACATGTTCAAAGTTCATCATAATTTTTCTGTGAACTACCGGTACTGGGATTTCTGAAATATTTTTTTTTCTCCAAAAAGAGTTGTCTGAGATTAAAAATTAATAAAAATGAATAAACATTTATATTATGAAACATAACTTCACGTTGGACCCTGGACCCCCTACATTGTAGATGTTCCTACCTTCTCCCCCCACCCACAAACAAGAAGAAATAAAGAAATGAAAACAAAGACAATTAGACATGATAGAATGATAAAATTGATATAATACAACCTATTCAAAATGGATGAACAATAAAATCTAATCTAAAGTTATGCAACTTTAAGAGCACAGAATCTGAACCTCACTTGGTTTGCATTTTATAAGAAGATTGATAACAAATGTTTGCCTTTATTTCATGTTTGATAAGCCACGTAGGAGACCATATCACATGCATTATGAAAAATGTATCACAATTTTCATAACTTATGCGGAGTTCAACATTAATGCACGAAGATGGATTGCCAGCAATAGGTCACTCTCATTCAAATGCTGCCGCAGACATCAACAAAGTGATTTAGTTTAGATGGATACACACACATTTACTGTGTGTAAACATATTATCTACATGTAGAAGCCATGTTTTTCATCACATCGTGCAATGATGCATATACTTATATACTAGATATTAATATTTTAAAATAACTAGAAGCCATATCAAAATCCTACATATAAATCAAGCTTTTTACATTGCAGGTTTTCATGCTTTAAATATGCCTTTTTAATGCCATGGTTGGCTACAATTTGACTGGAGGAAAAGATACATGTACTGACTGTACATTGCAACTTGTGCACTGGTTGAAATTTCATGAGTGCAAAGTGAATTGTCCAAAGAAGACAGAAGGAGGTACTTAATTTATATGCATGATTTTAATTCAATTAGCACCAGGCCTTTTACAGTCCATTAGACAATCACTTTGATCTGTTTCATCCCTATAGTCCTCTCCCCTCCCTCCCTCTCTCTTTTTCTCTTTTCTTTCTGTTTTACTCTCTTACTCTATTTCTCTGTCTGTTTGTCTCTTTCTATCTCTCACTCTCTATCCCTCACTCACATCTCTTTCTTTACCTCCTACTCGTTCATCCTCTCTCCTCTCCTCTCTCCTCTTCTCTCTCCTCTCCTCTCTCCTCTCCTCCTCTCCTCTCTCCTCTCCTCTCTCCTCTCCTCTCTCCTCTCCTCTCTCTCCTCTCTCCTCTCTCCTCTCCTCTCCTTTCCTCTCTCCTCTCCTCTCTCCTCTCATCTCTCCCTCTCTCCTCTCCTCCTCTCCTCTCTCCTCTCCTCTCTCTCCTCTCTCCTCTCTCCTCTCCTCTCTCTCCTCTCCTCTCTCTCCTCTCCTCTCCTCTCTCCCTCTCTCCTCTCCTCTCCTCTCCCCTCCCCTCTCCTCTCTCCCTCTCTCCTCTCCTCTCTCCCTCTCTCCTCTCTCCCTCTCTCCTCTCTCCCTCTCTCCTCTCTCCTCTCTCCCTCTCTCCTCTCTCCTCTCTCCCTCTCTCTCCTCTCCTCTCTTCTCTCCCTCTCTCCTCTCCTCTCCTCTCTCTCCTCTCCTCTCCTCTCTCCCTCTCTCCTCTCTCCCTCTCTCCTCTCTCCCTCTCTCCTCTCTCCCTCTCTCCTCTCTCCTCTCTCCCTCTCTCCTCTCCTCTCCTCTCCTCTCTCCCTCTCTCCTCTCCTCTCCTCTCTCTCCTCTCCTCTCCTCTCTCTCTCTCCTCTCCCCTCTCCTCTCTCCTCTCCTCTCTCCCTCTCTCCTCTCTCCCTCTCTCCTCTCCTCTCTCCCTCTCTCTCCTCTCCTCTCTCCCTCTCTCCCTCTCTCCCTCTCTCTCCCTCTCTCCCTCTCTCCTCTCCTCTCTCCTCTCTCCCTCTCTCTCCTCTCTTCCTCTCTCCCTCTCTCCTCTCTCCTCTCTCCCTCTCTCCTCTCTCCCTCTCTCCCTCTCTCCTCTCTCCCTCTCTCCTCTCTCCCTCTCTCCTCTCTCCCTCTCTCCTTTCTCCCTCTCTCCTTTCTCCCTCTCTCCTCTCATCTCTCCCTCTCTTCCTCTCCCCTCCTTCTCTCCATCTCTCTTCCTTGCTCTCTTGCTCAATGCAACTGAAGTCAGTGATGCTAGAAGCTTCAGTAGCCTAAAAGGCAGTAAGTAGGAGTCTTGGGACTTGAAGTGTGTCGACTTCGCTGGCAGGTCGTTATGTGAAACAACAGTTACTGCTGGAGTGAGATAGCCTGAGCATAAATTAGCTTGCTCATCTCCTTGTGGGATGTTTACTTCTAGCCAGACATGCTAACATACATGTCGCCTGTGTTTTGGTTGGGTAGGAGTTTAAGAGAAGGTTGAGTTCTGGAAAGAGTTGAAAAATATTTTGTGAGCATTATCATTGTAGACAGTGTGGAAGAACATCAGATAAAAAATGTTCCCTGAAAAGCATGGCTCTTCAAATGAGTTTATAGCATAAAAGTTGGGACGGATTTTTATGCCACATGTTCGTGTAGTCCCATATACATATTTCTGTGTACAGTGCTTGTAACTTTACCAAAACTGGGCCAAATTTCTCATTATTTTGATGATTCCAGAACCTTGCACTATACACCAATACTTAATATATACTAGAGGATCAACCTTTTCTGATCGATTCCATACCGTGTCTTTCACAATGCAATCGCATGACCAGAACTCAACTTTATCTTTAAAGTGTACCGATCACTCAAAACGTTTCGCGCTGTATGTTTGGGGTGTAGTGTTCTTCAATTTTGCAGTATAGTTACATGTATGGCTTTGCTTGTGCATTAGTCAAATACATGTATGAATTTGTATTCTACGTGTACACCGTACATGCAGAATATCTCGACTATCCAATTTTCCATTGACATTTGAAATCGAGAAATGGCCTGTAAAACCTGATGAGGGTAATCCATTTCAATATCAAATTAATTTAAAATGTGGCACATATCCCATTTATCTGATGTCGCCGCATGCACGAAAGGGGAAGTCCACCCTGATATTACGTTGGTTTTAATGAAAGCAAATGAATGAGGGAAACAAATTATTAATTTTTTTAGCAAACATCCAATTAAAAATAGGATAGTTATAAATGTGTACTGTTCTATTTAGTGAAACAAAAATTGGCAACACCATGCCATATCTTGTGAGCTGCTCTCCAATTCGCTCTGTACTCCAATTCGCTCTTTACAGAAAATTTCATAAACTTACATTTTCTTAGGTATTGATGACAGAATATTTTTGTTCATACTAAATATTTGCAAAATCATATGGAGGGAGACTGTATGATTGATTTAAAAAAAAAGGGAAATTATACATTTTTGAATACAGGGCAAATAGGAGCAGAGCTCACAATAAATAGGGCTAGGGTGGCCCTCAGGTTTTGTGTTACTTTTAGGGTAAATATTATTATTATATGATTGTGTACAGTATGTGTGCATTGAGTGGTCCACTGTTGAAGATGGGAATACTGTCTGTGGAGCAACGGTCACTGGAGCATATGTCCTACAACCCATCTTTTTGCTTCCATCTCGGCATATTGTTTCAAACTTGCGGGTTGTTTTCATTCACGTACTCTTCAATAAATTAATTATAATTTGCAGGATTCTGTTTCTATTAAATTCAGTGATTGACAGCAGTAAAAATATTGATGATTCTTATTGTTGTTTTCCCTCTCTCTCTCTCTTTCTCTCTCTCTCCCTCTCTCTCCTCTCTCTCTCTCTCTCCCTCTCTCCCTCTCTCCCTCTCTCTCTCTCTCTCTCTCTCTCCCTCTCTCCCTCTCTCCCTCTCTCTCTCTCTCCCTCTCTCCCTCTCTCCCTCACATAATAGGATTTGCAATCCCAGCTGACAAAGGACATCACCTTGAAGGCTCCGTTGGTGTCGTCTCCTATGGATACCGTCACAGAGTCCTCCATGGCGATCGCGATGGCAGTGAGTCTTGCCTCCTAATCACTTTTACCTCCCATGAAATCATCCACGGAAATGCATTACAGTTATTATCTTCTTTGCCCTCGATGTTGAAGGACGAGGATGGATGGAAATTAGATTGGATTGTTGATAATTGTATTAAATATCTAAGGGCACTCAGAATGAAAAGTAGCAAATTGCGTACAAAATCGTATGATGACGAAGAAAAATATGCTAAAATTTAAACAAGCTGCTTAGTATAGTAGTAAAATTAATTTTATGTGTTTGTTTTTAGAGATTCTTTCCAACAACACCTTAATGGCTACTACAATAAAGTATTTTGTTGTTGAATATTTTGGTTATTTAATGGGAAAAATTACACCGTTGAAGTTAAACAGATGTTGATTTTAATATTTTGAATTTGTCTAGTATTAGATTTTTGTACCGTGCCTGAAACATTGGATACTTTTGTACCAAGCCCAAGTATGTTTTTTTTTAATTTGTAAAAGTATTTCATATGGGTAATGGTATCAATTTGGTCTTGCACGTTCTTATATATTACAAATCAACAAACTGCAATCTATAAATGATATCACATCTCTCTAGATTTGCTGATATAAGTCCTGCCTTTGACAAACTTTGTCTTGTTCATGCAGAACCTTAAAAACACACATATGCTTTAAATTTGTTCATAGTTGATGGTCTTTCTATATATGGATTTTTCAATTCTTGATTTTTTCCGCTCTGTAATTCATAGTCATTGTAGCAGACCATTGTTGTTTTTATTTTCAGTTTGATGCCGAGATGGATCCTCTAAATCTTTTCTTCTCCAATGCACATGGATGGTGTTGCCATTAGCAACCATTCTAATGCAGTTTCCTGGTTTTCATAAAATTGTTATCTTATAAAAAGCAAAGTCAATATAGTCACTCACCATACCTTAACATCTACAGCAAGGAGAGAGAAAGAGAGAGTGAGAGTGAGAGAGAGAGAGAGAGAGAGAGAGAGAGAGAGGGGGGGGGGGGGAAGAAAGAGAGGGGGAAAAAAGAGGGGGAAAAAATGGATGTGGAGGATTGTGTTACAGAAAGAGAGAGTGCTGCAATTGCTGTTAACTTTGTTAGGGGAAATGAAATTCAATTTATACATTCATTGGCAAACAAGACCAGCTCAATTCAGTATTATGTTCAGTAGGCAGCAAGGTGATTCGCATACCATGTACAGTGTGTACATGCATCTACAAGGCACCATATGCGCATACATGTAGGCTTAGTTGAGCACCTCCATCTATACTAGCTAGTAAAATCATGTGCAAAAATATGAAACTAATATTTTTAATGATATGTAGTGTCAGTGGATGACGGATGTGCATGGACCTGCAGTCATTGTGTATTTATAGAAGCTCTTAATTGCTGAGTACTTTTGCAAAAGAAGCTGTACAACAATGATTGCTATATATATATGGCATGTTTTTACTCCATGCATTGTACATACATGTATGTATGCAGATGGAAATAACGGTTTTATTGAATTCATTTGTATGGAAATTTAAAGTAAAAGACTTCAAAATAGTGTAGATATTCCAAATTCTATTCCTGCTGATGATAAATCATGCTTATGATTTGTACATGTAATATTATCCCATTTTACTTGTTTTAATATGTACAAGGTGTAGATTTTATTTTGTTTAGGTTCATTTTACTTTCCAGTCCTGCACTTTAAATACATGTACTTGTATGTAGTCAGGAACAGCACACCTGTACTACATACTGTTCAAAGTCTCCTTTATTCCTTGGATATTGAAATGTATACACTGTACTTCAAAAAGGAACACGCTTTTGTATACATTGCAGGCCTCGAATTACATCAAATTTGGGTCAAGGCCACTTTTTTGAGAGGGCACAAATCCACTGAAAGGGGCACAAATCTATCCTAAGGGGCACTAAGGCCAATGTGGAAAGTGCGCGTAAAATCACCTCACGCCGTTGTTTTAAAGGTGGGGGGGGGGGGGGGGATCCAGGATTTCTTCCTTGGGGGGGGGGCCCACTTTTTTTTTCTGTCCCCCCAAAAAATCGCAACGACTCAGCCAGCCGCTGAATAAGCGGGGTAAGAGGACACTTTTTTTTGTTTTTTGGTCTCGAAATTTGAAAATTTGACATTTTGTTCCCTTTGGGGTGGGGGGGGGGGGGGGGGGAGGGGTGGGGGGGGGGTGAGGTCACCTTTTTTAGATCAGCCATTGGCATAATTTTTGTGTGTGTGTGTTTCATTTATAAAAAAAAAAAGGGGGGGGGGTTTGCTCCAAAATACAGACATAAAAAAAAAACCGAAGAAGGGGGGGGGGGGGGGGGTTTAACACCCCAAACCCCCCCCCCTCCCCCGCAAAGCTCGGAAGCTTTTACGTTTCATTAAATCATTAGAGAAAGAAGACGATTCGTTGTACCGTTCTCGAAAATAATCCTCGCCTGCATGAATACAGTTTTCCCCTTCCAGAGCAAAGCGCGGAAGCTTTTATGTTTCATTAAATCATTAGAGAAAGAAGACGATTCGTTGTACCGTTCTTGACTCTTAATCCTTGTCTGAATTTCAAAAATGTTTTTTGTCTGCTCCTTTTTCTTCATACGTCCTCTTCCTTTTCTCTCCTCTCTTTTTTTGGCTTTTTTTTTTAGGGGGCCCCCCCACTGCCCCCCCCCCCCCCCCCCCCCCCCCCGGCTACGTGCCTGCGGTCAGATGAACATCTTTCGATACCTTGTTCACCCCGGAAACTCATGGGTTGAAGGCAAATTACGGTCAGATAAGCATTCAGGGGCCCGCCTCAGGGCCCATGGTGGAGTCGAGGGTGCATTTGATTACGGTCAGATGAACATATTTTTATACCTTATTTGTGACACTGGCAGGATACTGATTGGCGTGAGGTCCAGCGGGCGGAGCCCCCAGAAGCCCATGGGTTTAAAGCATTACATTACCGTCAGATTAGCATCCAGTGGGGTCCAGGGGGCAGAGCCCCCGGAAGCTCAGGGGTTTAAGCATTTGATTACTGTCAGATGAACATGTTTTTTATCACTGGCAGGACACTGATTGGCGTGAGGTCCAGCAGGCGGAGCCCCCAGAAGATCAAGGGTTTTAGGCACTAAATTGCAGTCAGATGAGTATCAAGAGGCCTGCCAAAGGGCCCTTGGTTGGGTCCCGGGGGCAGAGCCCACGGAAGCTCAGGGGTTTTAGGCGTTTAATTACGATCAGATGAGCAATTTTTGATACCTTATTTTGTTGAGAAACTGGTAGTTAACTATTTTTCTTTCTTGCTCTCTTTCTTTCTATTTCTCTTTAAAATGCTTTTCAAAAAAAATTGGGGGGGGGGGGGAGCTGGAGGGGGGGGGGGGGGAGTTTCCCCCTTTGACGTTTCATTGAATTATTAGAGAAAGAAGATGATTCGTTGTACCGTTCTTGACTCTTTATCCTTTTCTGAATTCCAAGGGAAGCGCGGAAGCTTAGACGTTTTTAATAAATTATTAGGGAAAGAAGACGATTCGTCTCGATCTCGACTACCGGTATTATCCTTTTCTGAACTCAATTCACACCCCTCCCGCGCGATGGGCGGAAGCTATGACGTTTTAATTAAAACGTATGGGAAAGAAGACGATTCTTTGTACCATTATCTCGACTCTTAATCATTTTCTGATTTAATTCCAGACCCTCCTCCCGAGAAAAATCCAAGTTTTTCACTGATTAAAAACTGTAAAAACGCACCAAAAAAGGTCACAACGCGAAGTAAAGATGTTGAACCAACGATGGGTAAACAAAACTTCCCGATATTGATTGGTTCAAATAAAAAGGATGGATTGAAAAACTAAGCCTGAGTCATTACGGTTTTTGTGCCAAACGTTTCAGTCATTTGGATGAAGACATTCTTTCATATCTCCGTATCGGCAATTAATTAAGTCCCGCCAATTAATTTAGGAGTTCCATAGTGGAAATTAAGTCTCGCCAATAATTATTGTTTTAAATCTCCGTAGGTGCAACAAAGTCTTGCCGATTATCATTGTTTTAGATCTCCGTAGGGGCAACAAAGCCTTGCTGATAATTATTGTTCTTAGAGCTCCGTAGGGGCAACAAAACCTTCCAGTAATTATTGTTTTTAGACCTCCGGAGGGGCAACAAAACCTTGCCGACTATTATTGTTTTTAGAGCTCCGTAGGGGCAACAAAACCTTCCGGTAATTATTGTTTTTAGAGCTCCGGAGGGGCAATAAAACATTGCCGATAAATATTGTTTTTAGAGCTTAGGAGGCCGGCCGGGGCAACAAAACCTTGCCGACTATTATTGTTTTTAGAGCTCCGGAGGGGCAACAAAACCTTGCCGATTATTATTGTTTTTAGAGCTCCGTAGGGGCAACAAAACCTTCCGGTAATTATTGTTTTTAGAGCTCCTGAGGGGCAACAAAACCTTGCCGATTATTATTGTTTTTAGAGGTCCGTAGGGGCAACTAAACCTTGCCGATAATTATTGTTTTTAGAGCTCCGGAGTGGCAACAAAACCTTCCGACAATTATTGTTTTTAGAGCTCCGGAGGGGCAACAAAACCTTGCCGATAAATATTGTTTTTAGAGCTCCGGAGGGGCAACAAAACCTTGCCGACTATTATTGTTTTTAGAGCTCCGGAGGGGCAACAAATCCTTTCCGACTATAATTGTTTTTAGAGCTCCGTAGGGGCAACAAAACCTTCCGGTAATTATTGTTTTTAGAGCTCCGGGGGGAAACAAAACCTTCCGATAATTATGGTTTTTAGAGCATCGGAGGGGCAAAACCTTGCCGACTATCATTGTTTTTAGAGCTCCGGAGGGGCTACAAAACCTTCCGGTAATTATTGTTTTTAGAGCTCCGGAGGGGCAACAAAACCTTCCGATAATTATTGTTTTTAGAGCCTCGGAGGGGCAACAAAACCTTGCCGACTATTATTGTTTTTAGAGCTCCGGAGGGGCAACAAAACCTTGCCGATTATTATTGTTTTTAGAGCTCCGTAGGGGCAACAAAACCTTCCGGTAATTATTGTTTTTAGAGCTCCTGAGGGGCAACAAAACCTTGCCGATTATTATTGTTTTTAGAGGTCCGTAGGGGCAACTAAACCTTGCCGATAATTATTGTTTTTAGAGCTCCGGAGTGGCAACAAAACCTTCCGACAATTATTGTTTTTAGAGCTCCGGAGGGGCAACAAAACCTTGCCGATAAATATTGTTTTTAGAGCTCCGGAGGGGCAACAAAACCTTGCCGACTATTATTGTTTTTAGAGCTCCGGAGGGGCAACAAATCCTTTCCGACTATAATTGTTTTTAGAGCTCCGTAGGGGCAACAAAACCTTCCGGTAATTATTGTTTTTAGAGCTCCGGGGGGAAACAAAACCTTCCGATAATTATGGTTTTTAGAGCATCGGAGGGGCAAAACCTTGCCGACTATCATTGTTTTTAGAGCTCCGGAGGGGCTACAAAACCTTCCGGTAATTATTGTTTTTAGAGCTCCGGAGGGGCAACAAAACCTTCCGATAATTATTGTTTTTAGAGCCTCGGAGGGGCAACAAAACCTTGCCGACTTATCATTGTTTTTAGAGCTCCGGAGGGGCAACAAAACCTTCCGATAATTATTGTTTTTAGAGCTCCGGAGGGGCAGCAAAACCTTCCGATAAATATTGTTTTTAGAGCCTCGGAGGGGCAACAAAACCTTGCCGACTATCATTGTTTTTAGAGCTCCGGAGGGGCAACAAAACCTTCCGATAATTATAGTTTTTAGAGCTCCGGAGGGGCAACAAAACCTTCCGATAAATATTGTTTTTAGAGCCTCGGAGGGGCAACAAAACCTTGCCGACTATCATTGTTTTTAGAGCTCCGGAGGGGCAACAAAACCTTTCAGTAATTATTGTTTTTAGAGCTCCGGAGGGGCAACAAAACCTTGCGACTATCATTGTTTTTAGAGCTCCGGAGGGGCAACAAAACCTTCCGGTAATTATTGTTTTTAGAGCTTCGGAGGGGCAACAAAACCTTGCCGACTATCATTGTTTTTAGAGCTCCAGAGGGGCAACAAAACCTTGCCGACTATCATTGTTTTTAGAGCTCCGTATGGGCAACAAAACCTTTTTGAACATTACAAGTCGGGTTGGCTTACGATGACTATAATGTCGGCAAAACTTTTGTGGATTAAAATATTGTGGCCGTAAACGGTTTGATTTTGAAAAGGGCATTCCGGCCAGTGAGAGGGGCATGGCGGCAAATTGCCGATTGCCGGTGGGTAATTCGAGCCCTGCATTGTCTAATTTTAGAAGCATCAGGAAGTAGGATCTCTTAAAATACCATTGATACCTCAGTCATACCAGTGCCAAACCACTGTACAAAAAATCCTAACAGGGAGATTCATGGCCAGTCGGGATGATTTAATTTATTTTCAATTTTCAGTCTGGTGTTGCTCTTGTGTGTTTGACCAAGGTATCAATTATATACAGCCCAATACACTTTCTACAATGAAGTCCCAATATGTGCAGATACAGTGCATGTCGTTTTGCTTATGATAATATGTGGTTTGAGAAAAAGATTTTTTTTTTATACAGGTATACATGTAGTTTTGCTTTTTTTGTACTTTTTTCTTCATATTTTTCTCTCACAAATGCAACTAAACCGACAGTTTTTACCTTAAAATTTTTTGTTCCTATTCTTTCTTGTATCTCTCTAATCTGTATCATACTTTAGTTATGTGGAGGCATTGGAATCATCCATCATAACTGTACTCCTGAGTTCCAAGCAAATGAAGTCAGGAAAGTAAAGGTGAGTATTAGAAAAGAGAGGGAGGGAGGGAGGGAGGAAGGGAGGGAAAACAAGCTATAAAAAAAGCTCAGAAATGTATTCAAATCAGGATATTATATCTTCTGTGAACAAAGTAACAAGTAAGTCATTTTACCAAAGAATTATTGTTAGGAGATAAAAGCATTCTGTGAATGTAGTGAAGGATTTAATTCTACTATTCCATATATTGGTATTTTGTCATGTCATATTCCCAATTAACACTATGACCTGAATTCACAAAGCAAGGTTTGAGCTCAAACCTCCTTTTGTTCTTTACAAACCAGGTTTGTTAAAAACGCGTAAAATGCGTCATATGACGTACGAAAACCAAGGTTTGTAGACAAACCTCCTTTGTGAATTTCGGCCTCTATGTTTGTTGTATTGCCTTGCAAAGTCTGAGAAGGTGAACTTTTGAAGAATGCTTAATATTGTCCTTCTCCCTCTTCCTCTCTCTCAACTATATTTCTCTTTCTCTCTGTGTGTGTCTCTCTCTCTTTCTCCCTCTCTCCTTCGCTATATTTCTCTCCCCCCCCCTCAACTATATTTCTATTTTTTCTCTCTCTCTCTCTCTCTCCCTTTCCTCTCTCTCCCTTTCTCTCTCTCCCTCCCTCTCCTCTTTCTCCCTCTCCTTCCGACCCATTTCCCTTCATGTACATATATCTTTCTCACTTTTGCTATAAAACTCTTTGATAATTCCAGAAATATGAGCAAGGATTCATCATGGATCCTGTCGTGCTTGGTCCTAATGATACTGTTGGTGATGTCTTTGGCTCAAAGGCAAAGCATGGCTTTTCAGGTAACATTAAAAACAATCATTGCTCATCTGCAAGTAATCGTATTAGAGCTTTCTGAAAAGAATTACATTTATATTTATTCCTCCTTTGTTCAAAGAAAGTAGATGTATAATGTATGTTTGTTTGTGTATATTACTTGCTTTATGGTGTCATTTTATCTTGTCATCACGACTGCAATATTCATTGAAGGACTTAATGTAGAGGAGTAGAAGTTAGAATATTAAATTTAAGAAAACAAACTTTACTTTGGTCTGTGGTTAATGTTATATGTGAAGTATGATGTGCAAAAGTTATCCACATGTAATCCAATAAGTTCTCTTACCATTCTTGTATTCCTTGTCATATAATTTGTACAGACCTTGCAATGAGCGTTAGCAAATTAGTTTTCATTAATTAGACAGCTGCATGTACCGTGCATGGATAACAAAGGAATTGGGACAGTGGGTATCACCATGGAGATTGAAAGCATGCATTGCATACATTCCTGGATGAGTTTTCAACAGGCCATTTTCGCACTGTAACCAAATTAATGCATACGTCTTTGTTAATTGCCTCAATACAAATAATTGAATTCATCTGTTACAAATAATAGTATCTCTATAGTCAGAATGCAAATTGCATAAATAAGTTGTTGCCAGCTATGCTCGCCCTACCTGCCAACACGTATGCATTTTGCATTCTAACTATTGAAATGCAATTATTCATTACGGGTGTATGACATATTTATATTGAGGCACTGCTAAAAGACTATGCATTAAATTAGGTTGCATTACAAAAATGGTCTATTAGGATAGTGAGTAACACCATGGAGATTAAAAGCATGCATTGCCTAAATTCCTAGATGAGTTCTCACTTTATCCTCAGTGGGCAGATGCTGCATTCGTTTCTGTTTCATCTGACATCCTCCCCAACATTCTAGTATAATAGGAATAGTCATTGCTTTCCTTCACTCCTCAAATATAGGACTAGAACTTATCAGTTCCCTAGGTGCCCATTGACCACCTGAACTCCTGCCGCACCCACCCCAGCTTGCCCAGGTGGCAACTGCTTTCACCCCCTCCCCCTCCCCCTCTACACTAGAGAATAATATTCAATTTCATTCAACAACAAAAAATTTCAGCTTAAAGGAAATCTCATCCCAAGATATACATTTATTCATTGTCAGAGGTTTATTGTATTATTGCCCATCAATCTACAAGATTTCCCATCAAAGTATATGAGAGAGTTTCTCAGCACAATATTTTCTTGATAACGGGACTACTATGCTAAGTCCGTTATCAAGTAAATGATTCCAATATATGGATGCTTCCTTCCCACTGTGTACTGTAATGAAGTATTTCATTTACCTGCTATTATGTTTTGTACTATAATTGTCAGAATGCAAACTGCATATCGATAAATGCAGTTGTTTGCTCTTCTGGGGTGAAGGTTACACATAAATGAAGTAGATTCGCCACCTGCTATATATTTAATATTTTTAGATAAATAGTTACAATAGGCCATTTTTGTCATGCATTGCAGTTTACAAAGCTCTACTAGACTTTTGTCTACATTATCTAATCTTATTAAATATTGCATGTACATGTATTTGCATATTTTATAAGAATGGAATTGTAAAGTACTTGTACATTACCCTATTTGTTTTATATCACATTCACTTCATGTCTTTGTGAAATATGTTCCAATCTCTTCAAGGATGTGGTTTTATCATCGTATCTTTAAGATATAATATCTCATGTGCTGTTTATTCTTTCTGAAACAAATTTCTTTCTTATTAATGATGTGGTTTTAGCATCCACATTTAATATTAAGACAAGTACATATGTACCTGCATGTTTTTTCTTGATTATTCTTCTATTCAAGTAGAGGTATATGTATTTATCACTTACATTGTTATTCAAACGAGATGTTAGATCAGCACATTTTAATTATAGTCTGTACAAATGTAAACTTTTATCCAAGTCACAGTTGTTTGATGTTTAAGGGGCTGAATATGTTGTCATCTCTCAATACTGCAGAAAGCTGGCTATAATGTATTAATTATTCTTTTTTTTTAAAAGTTCCCCCTGTAATGTTATCTTTGCATGAGATTGATAGATTTCTTTTTATTTTATTTTATTTTTGTTGACTATTTACATTGGCTGCTTCCTTGTGTTTCTAGGAATCCCGGTTTCTCAAGATTTGCCACACAAGATCCTCGGTATAGCCCATAGATTGTTGTGTTGATCTCTTTGATCATTTCTAATCCCCTTTTAATACCTGCTTTGTGAGATTTTTACCTGCCTTTTTTCGATGGGTTGGGTTGGATTGTGTGATAACCTCTTTAAAAAAAAAATTGTTTTAGTGTGTCTTCTCCAATCATAAGCCACTGACTACATCATATCATTCTTCACACCAACAGTATGGAAGGTAATCCTGAGTTCTGTAATTATATTACTGCAGTAATTATGTTACTGCAGTCTCAAGATGCCATTCAATTCATTCTTGATATTTTTTGTGTTGGTATCGATATTGGGATGTGGAAGGTTCTGTGTAACATTGTGTGCTGATGTGAGTTTTTGATGTGTAAATTACCATACCATACCACAGAACTACATGTACTTTCAATATCGAAGGAGAAGAAGGGGGGGGGGGGGGGGAGAAATCATGCAATGCATATTCTGGGGGAAAAGCTAGCCAAAGATGCAGGTATATCAATAATATTTTCCCATTTAGTTTTGATGAAAAAAAATCCCAACACATACACAAAAACAAAAACACCTGTGAATAATAATAATAATAATACATGAGATTTGTAAGGCGCCGAATCGACCAGACAATTAAATGCTCAAGGCCTAAGTACAAAGTCTGACTTACCAGAGAAAAGTGCTATGATCTTTCAAGAACCCCTTTTTTCAATCTTGGTTGGAACCTTTACAAAGGTCATTGAATTCTGATGATAATGAAGTTGTTTTTTCCAACTTTCAAACAATATTTTGTTATAGTAGGGATTGCACACTGCACTATTAAACTAATTATATTTTCATAGTACTTAAAATGATATCACTCGCAATAAAATAGTTATCGAGGCTCATTCCTCAAATCGCTTTGAAAAATTGGAGTTGAAAATGGAGAATGCAAAATATATATAGAAAATACAATTCATTTTTAATTTTTAGTCGTAAGGCTGATAATAATTGTTCTACAAATTGTGGGTTATTTTTCAGTTTTTTTTAATTCTGGGGTTGTTTTTGTTATTTCTTGTTGATTTGCTGTGATTTTGGTGTATTAACTTCATGTACATGTATCTTCCTATAAGAATTATTATAGTACATATAATAAATATAGTACCTACATGTACATGTATGTATTTATGAGCCACAGCTCCATTTAGGTACTAATGGAAGTATAAACGGTGTGGGTATTATGGTCAAATCCATTAACATTTAGAGTTTTGCAGAGTGAAAACAAATTTATTCTACAAAAACATTGAAAATGCCAATATATTCATAATGTTAATGTTTGTTACTCAAGTGCTAGCAGTCCAACAGGGTACCTCTCTAATCATATCTCTTGCTGTGAAGCTACTTTAAGAAGAAAAAATGCTTTATAACACATGGGCTCTAGTTAATGTGATTTATTCAACCATGTGTATTTAATAAGAAGATTGATTTTATAACATATTTAGGAGTAATAGCACACTTTCTAATAATAGAGATTCGGAAATGTGTATTATCGCTACCTACATAAATGAGAGGACTATTATTCATTGGATATTCAATTTAAGACTTTTATTTCCAATTGATTTAAAAAAGCAAAAATGGGTACCTGGTAGGAATTTATTCCTCGAAATGCTAGAGCGCCTTATGGCAGGAGGGTCAAATCTGACTGACATGGGCGCTATACAAGAACCCATTATTGTTATTATATATATTATAATATAAATACAATATAACAAAATAAAATTTAAAAATAAAAATACATCATGAATCGTATCGGACTCGAGTACAAACATGATAAACGCAGAACAAAATTTGAGAAATGAAAAGGAAAAATTGCGTAAAAAGCCCAATTAGGCTTGTGAAATAATATTTATTTTTACATGGAAAATATGATTACATATCATTATATGATACACAATAATATATATCCATCATAAAAGTTATCTGGAGTTCTGATAATATTACTGCTAGTCAAAAAACACAATGTATACTTCATTCTGAATGGTTAGGCGCCACGGATTTATTCAACTGGCATTCGGAATGCATGTAGAATGCATGTAGAATGCCCTATTCAGAATCTATTGTTCCGTTAATCCACATTCCAGAATGTACCTAGAATGTACCCAGAATGCGGTAATTAACGACTTAATTGGCGCATTCTGGGTGCATTCTGGATTGCTCCATGAATAGGCCATCCGAACAAAGGCGATATCGATCGGCAGCGACTACCTTCTTGATATTGCGTGCCGGAATAGTTTCGATATAGAATGAACCATAAGAATTGATAGAAATCAACAGATATTTAATTGGTTTCGCTTCTGTCTCTCCCGCGATCGGTCGCTCTTTGCATTTCTCGAGCGCAGGTGATAATGGACTTACTTTTATTTCTTTCCGACGGCTAACCGGTAACATCAGCGATATTTAATTGTTTTCGCTTGTAGCTCTCTTTCTCTCACTATTTATTTCTCAAGCGTCGGTGATATTGTAATTGATTTTCTTTCTTTTCTTCAGCTTATTAAAGATGGTGAAAAGAGTAGAAGAAAGATTGAGAAAGAATGAAGACAGATTTATTATGACATTCCCGCCAGACCGCCACAAATATGTTCTGAGTCGGCGCTCTCAGAACCGGGTCTCAGAACAAAGGCGCGTTGCAGTGTCAAATATACGCGGTGTTTTGAAACGTTGGTGTTGATTGACATGATGCCTCATTAAAGATGGTAAAAAGAGTAGAAGAAAGATTGAGAAAGAATGAAGAAAATATTTTGCATGAAAATGCGGATGAATCTGAATGATCAAAATGAGAGGAAGAAAGAGGATGCAAGAGATGGTGGGTGTTGAAAGATCTGAGGACTAATGAAATGATACATTTAGATAAAAAGCGAGAGTGGATATTTGTGGTTACCATCTTATTTTTAAACTTTTTTTTATTGGCAGGGATGGGGGTCCGTTTTTTTTTTTTTTTTTTTTTTTTTTGGCCAGGGAGGAAGCGGCCTGGCCCCGTTGCCCCCCCCCTCTCCCTCCATGCGTCTGCGCCTGAAGGAAAGCACATAAAATTATGTCGTTTCGAATAATCTTATTTCCAAACCGAGACGGACATTATTTTGTTTGTGGTCTGTGCTTATATGTTGTGTATAATTTGTTTGTTAAGCGCACACTATCCTACCTTACCCCCCCCCCAACCCCCCCTTTTTTTTTTACATCACCTACTTCATCAACCCTCTCTAATTTTTTAATTCCATCTCTTACAAATAATGATTTTTTTTTTGTTTATTTTTGTTGGACTTAAATCATTTTTTTTTACGGAATTTCATAAAGATTGTAGAGGGTGTGATTATTTATTCCAAAACAAATAAAGAGAAGGTCATATATAGATCAGTAGATAGTGGGGGGGGGGGGGGGGGGGGAGATGAAAATTAAGTGAGCCGGAGGGGAATTGCAGAGAACGAGGGAAAGAAAGAGAATGCAAGAGACTAATTGTAGTTTTTTTTATATATATTAGAAAAACAAGATTTCTTATTTCTTATTTCCAATCTAAATGGTCCGCATGCTCTAATAATTGAACAATGTTATCTCACGCCACATGGCATGTGGACAACAACATGACATGTGCGCAACAACGACATACAAATAATGACAGATTTATTATGGCATTCCCGCCACAAATATGTCGGCGCTTTCAGAACAAATGCGCGTAACAATGTCAAATATACGCGTGTTTTAAACTTTGGTGTTGATTGACATGACGCGGGACGCCTCATTTTAGATAAGAAGGCGACAGTGTTTATTCGAGATTGAGATGGATTTATTATTATCGAGAGAGAGAGAGAGAGAGATTACAGGTGTAAATTGGCCGTATGCCTATAACAATTCTAAAATGTTGGAATTTTTTGTAATACACAAATGTTTTTGTCATCGGAAATAATTGCTCCTCACCATGGCATTTGACCAGTCGCAACAAGGACATTCAAATAATGACAGATTTATTATGACATTCCCGCCACATGTCGGCGACCTCAAAAACAATCGTAAATATCGCGGTCTGTTCGAACTTGGGTGTTGATTACAACATTTCCAAGATACAGTCATCAATCCAACTTTCATATCCCCACCAATCTTTCGTGGTCGGGGGAAGGGGGGGGGGGGGGGGAAGGAGGGGGGGGGGGAAGGAGGGGGGTGGGGGGAGCATCATCCTATCTAGTGAACTTAAATTGACAGTCGTAATGGATAACAATAGGTCTGAACCGTGAAACTACGAGACGTCCGGTAATATGAATACAAGTGTATCTATTATGGCACAGATAGCATAACATAATATCGGCCTTTAGAGTTATTGGACTGATCCCGCACCGTAATGTGCCCCTATAAAGAAATACGGGGTTCTCGAGCAGGGACATTTGATAAGTCTGCGGGCACATACACTATATCTTGAAAGATATGAAAGATATATCTTGAAAGTTTTTTTCTATGCAGGGAGATGTGAGATTCCCCTGGTCTATAGATGGTTGTTTCGAGAGGTACAGTACATGACGTATTGCAGTCTCTTAAATCAGACTCTATGTTATGTATTACGACTGACAAGGGCTTTTGTCTGCGAGCTAATTTTGATCGAGGTAGAGTAGACAAGATAGAGAGAGATATACGTGTATTGTAGGCCTGAGTGAGACACAGCGGCCCGAATTCACAAAGCAAGGTTTGAGCTCAAACCTCCTTTTGTTTCGCTAAACCTCCTTGTTTGAAGTTTGGCGAAACAAAAGGAGGTTTGAGCTCAAACCTTGCTTTGTGAATTCGGGCCAATTTGTTTTGTTGTAAACTTTCAATAATATCGGTTGCGTGTCTTTCTTTCTACAACTGCAAAGTGATAACGTATTAAACCCAGTCTATTCAATTATAAGGCGCACTATTTATGCCCGAATCGGGAAACAACAGACCTGTTCAGCCTACGCGTTGGCTCCGGTGAATAGCCAAACAAAACCGGTTTTGCATCAGGGGTGGGTTATTG